GCCCGGGCTCCTGCAGGAACGAAGAGGGCCTGAGTCACTGCCTCTGATGGACTCTGCTATTTTTATGTGCAAGTCCGCGTAAAAATAGCTGTCTAAGCCAAGGTTTTAGCTGCCACTGACCAGACATTAAGTATTAGATACCTAATGCCCACAAGCAATAACGGCGGGCCTCTTCCTATGTCCATTTCCCACCTCTCCAGCAAGGTCAATGAGAAAGCAGCTACGAGAAGGGCCTCTAAGAACACTTCAAATTACTTCCCAAACGTTGGGGCCTGCTGCGGGCTGTGCCCACGAATGTCCGCGGGAAGCACGCCTGGGTCGGGTGCTGTAGTGGAGCCCACGTGTTCTCAGCACGCAGACCCCGTGCAGCCACTGCACGCTGGGCCCCTTCCAGCAGCACGTGCAGCCTGCCGAGCGGCCTCAGCGTCCGGGCGGTGGGGCCTCCAGGCCAGCCAGGGCTTAGAAAGTGCCTCACACTCCCATCGGCCCCACGAACGCCGGTCTGTCTGGGCAGAAGCCCAAGGTGTGCCGGCCTCGGCCCTGCCCCTGCCCTGCATGTGGACACGGCTGCTTGGCATTCGTGCTCAGTGCTGAGAGCGACATTAGCCCAGCGATTCCAGCAGAGTGTTCAAGGGGACCCGGCCTGTCCACGCCCCAAACACAGAGCGACTGATGGAGGAAGCCCCAGGGCGTAGGCAGGTGGAGCAGAGCCAGCCCATCCTGCAGCCACCAGGCCTTCCTCCTTTCTCCTCTCCCACCCAGCTCCAAGAAAGCTGGCGAGGCACACGCCAGGGCACGGCGCGTGGGACTGCGAGGGCGCGTGTGAGCAGACGTTAGGTGCCAGCCTATTTCCACAAGCTTCTCAGCGTTTAAGATAAGCAGCAGCTTCTCAAGGGCGCTCAGCGCGGTGTGGGGAGCTGGAGGACAGGTTCGTTTCTACTCCGCAGGTAGAGCGGCAGGGACCGCGTGAGCGCCCACCGCACGGCTCCCCGGGGCTGCCAAGTGGGAGCCCCGCCGGCCGACCTGTGGGTTCCACGGCTGCCAGCATGGTGGGGACCGCCCGAGGCGGCTGGACTCGTGTAGACAGTTCCCTTACCAGGGAGAGGAGGGGGTCTCCATTATCCCTGCGCGGAGGCCCCCAGGCCTCCCCACAGCCCATAAGTGGTCACAAGTCAAGGCCTGGCCCCGGGACACCTGAAGCTCCAGGGACTCAGCTCGTGGCCTCAGCCAGACCTGGTGGCTTGTGGTCCAACCCGACGTCCGTCCTCATCCTGCTCGGTGCTGGGTGCCGAGCGCGAGGATGTCAGGACATCGGTCCCTGCTGCTTTGCGCCGTCTCTCCGCGCCTCGCCCTCCTGGGCGCCTGTGAAGAAAGCACGGGACTCAGGGCCGGGTGCCCTGCGGCAACTCTAAGCCGCCTGCTAACTGCCCCTCTGGTCTCTGTCTTTGGTTCTTTCAGTGAGAAGCGCCACCTTCAAGTGAACGTCACCAACCCGGTGCAGTGCAGCCTGCACGGGAAGAAGTGCACCGTCTCCGTGGAGACCCGGCTCAACCAGCCGCAGCCCGACTTCACCAAGAACCGCTCAGGCTTCATCCTCAGCGTGCCCGGGAACTGAGGCCGCCGCGGGAGGCCTGGCCCCGAGCCCGTGGCCTGGGCCGGGTCAGACTGCGGCCACCCGCTCGTCCCGCTAGAGAGCAGCTGGCCAGCGCCGGCGCCGGGCAGGAGCCTCTTCCCCTTCTCTGAGGCCGTTGTGCCGTGAGGTTTCTTCCCGGCTTTCTGCCTTTGGTATCCTCCTTCCTCTGTCCTGACTTTCCACGGTCCCTGCTCAAATAAACCAAAGACCCCGGTGCCCCACCCCAGACCCCGGGCTCGCAGCCAGACCACGCCCGCCTCAGAGGCAGCGGGACGGTGCCTTAGTCGCTGCAGGTGTCCTGGAACGGCCGGGCCAGGTCAGCACACCTCGAGCCAGTGACCAGCTGCTGACCCCTGCAAATGGGCAGGCGGGGACAGCCTTAGGACGCAGCTTCCCAGCCAAAGACGTGCTCCCTTGGGGTGTCGGGGAGACCTGGTGGATGTGAGCTGGGGGCGCAGCCCTGCACTCTCCGTGACCCCACCTGCCACCCCTGCCCCCAGGGTGACCCAGCCCTCAGGACCCGGCTCAGGGAGGCTCGTCTCAGAGCTTAGCAGACTCCCCCACCCCACCCCCAGCAGCCAGCCAAAGCCCCCAGGTGAGCAGGGACACCTGCAGAGCCCGCCCCTCAGCCAGCAGTGATGCCCAGCCTGCCCCTGCCCGCGCCCGGCATCGTCTCACCTAACCCACAGCCATGGCCGTGGCCATCTCACACTTATTTTTGCAGTTTGCAGGGCTGCTAATCAGATATCTGCTGTCACCACACTTGTGTCAAGAATCCTAATGAGAAAATGGAGCTGCCGGGTGAGGGGAGCACGCAGGGCTGGCAGCTTTCCCTTTCTAACACCTCGCAGCTCCCCCACCGAGAACTAGGACAGGGCGGGGCACACAGGAGCCACAGGAAGCCGAGCAACAGAGATGGCGTGGGGTCCTGGCACTGCAGGCCAGGCCAGGACGCCGCCCCCAGCGCCCCACGCAGCCCCTGTCGGGGCTGGGCCCGTGGACCCCTTGCCACCAAGCACATGCGCTCCAGAGGCCTCGCTGAGCCCACCTCCTCCCCAGCCCCAGCTGCCCACCATGCTGTGCCCGGCCCAGGCCTCCCGGCGGGAGCCTTGAAGGAAAAGGGGCTCAGAACCAAGCCCGAGTTGTGAGGGCTGTGGGTGAGCCCGTGCCTCAGGAGGAGCAGGCAGGGATGCGACAGAGGGGCGTACGGAAGTCATCTTCACCTTCTGCCGCAGACACTGCCCCCCCCACCCGGCAGACCCCAGTGCCTGTGTGCAGGCCCCGCGCCTCACCCAGGGAGGCGCCTGCAGCCTGGTCCCGTGCCCACCCCCACCCCTGCTTCCCAGGGCTTGCAGACATTTGCACTGTGTGCAACTCGCAACAAAGAATCCTGCTGGCATCCTGTCCTTGGGAGCCCTGTCTGCAGGCGCAGAGGTGCCACCCGCCAGGTCTAGCAACGCTCATAGCTTTGCCAATTGCCAGTAGACACTAGTGGAACCATCTAACTGGAACTTCACCTCTCCTTTCCACGTATTTCCCCAAACTTGTTGCTTTACACTAGACACATGCAAATGTATGTTTCAAACACACCAAAATGGATCATGCCAAATGAGTTGCCTGTCGGAGGCTGGGGAAGAGGAGGGTTTGGGTTTGGTCCTTCCCAGCCCCTTGGATGTTGCCTCCAGCCCTTAGCCCCAGCGCCAGGGCCTCCCGGCCAAGGCCACAGGCCAAGCACTTTTTTATGATCTACCAGAAGCCACGGTGTGTGGCCACTGCAAAGGGATCGGGGATTTAGGGAGTGATGGTGGCGACTGGGTCCAGGGTGCTGAGGGAAAGGAAGAGGACACGGTGATTGTACACGATGAAGTGTTTCTCCTGATTTAATTAAATGCAATTTTATGGTTTGGTGCGTATATTCCTATTTTCCATTAAATTAACTTTATTTCTAAAGCATATTTTGATTTATCATCGAGAGCAATAAAGCATTAAATCTTATTTTTAAAGGTGTTCGCTCTACTTTTCTGTCACTGAAAACTACAATTGTGAGCTTTTCATTTATGTAACATCAACTGTTACCCCAGAGGATGGGAGAATTAAGTACAAATAATGTAAAATGGAGGCTCGTTTGCCTGAGGCTTTTGAACAAAAATATTAGTGACCGAGAAGCCGGCGGTGAGGGGGGCAGGAGGGGCGAAGGCAGTGGAGGCCCAGCGCTTCCCTCCGCCGCCTGGAGGCCTGGCCGCTCAGGCTGCTGTGGGAGCGCATGCTGACTGACCTTACAGCAGGTGGGGACCAAGGAAGGGCTCAGAGCCCCCCCAGCAGGGGACAGGTGCGTGGTCTGAGTGAAAGGGGCTGGGGAGGGGAAATGTGGGGGAGGCAGGACCAGAGACAGAGAAAGCAGGAAGCTGCTGGGGGGAGGGACTGGGGGGCGGCAGGGCCCTGCAGCCACAGGGTGCTTCTCGGTCACTGGCAGAAAAGAACATGCAGTGGCGGCTTCCGTGACCCAGACCAAGAGAGTGCTTTGAGAAATGCAAAGGCCCTGATCACAAGACTAACAGCTTCCAAGCCACAACCTGAGCACAATGGCCTTCCTGGTACCCAGGGACGGCTCTGGGTCTCCAGGCTGCAGGGCTGGGAAGGGCCAGTCGGGACACCTGTCCACCTGTTGGCAGGGAGCGCCGACCACAGCCAGGCCCAGGGACACATGGGAGTCCAAGGCCGGGAGCCCTGCAGGACCCACTCGGCCAGCTCTCACCATGCCATGCTTGGCCTGGCCCTCCTTGGCTGGGGGCTCCAGTCACCCGGCTCCACCAAAGGAGCCTGCCCCCACCCTGTCTGGGCGCTAAACCAAAGCTGACTTAAACTGTGCTGCTTCCTTTTTCTTTTTTTTCTGAGACAGAGTCTCACTCTGTTGCCCAGGCTAGAGTGAGTGCCGTGGCGTCAGCCTAGCTCACAGCAACCTCAAACTCCTGGGCTCAAGCAATCCTCCTGCCTCAGCCTCCCGAGTAGCTGGGACTACAGGCATGCGCCACCATGCCTGGCTAATTTTTTCTATATATATTAGTTGGCCAATTAATTTCTATTTATAGAAGAGACGGGGTCTCGCTCTTGCTCAGGCTGGTTTTGAACTCTTGACCTCGAGCAATCCGCCCGCCTTGGCCTCCCAGAGTGCTAGGATTACAGGCGTGAGCCACCTCGCCCAGCCGTGCTTCTTCCTTAATCACATTAGTGTGCTAAGCCCTTTCCCCCAACTCTGTCCCTCTCCCCTCCCCCTTATATAACACAAATCCAATTAGGTTCTGAGTGCATGACTCATTTATTATAGGGGCCCCAGCCTGCTCACAAATGATGGGCCCACAAAAAGACATAATGGATGGTCAGTGCATTTTATTGAATCAGCACAGTACAAAAATAAATAAAAATAAGGGAAGGGGAATTAAATTACAGCCAAACTGAGCTTCATGACTTTGTCAGATTATAAACCACACATACTCACACACTACACATACATACAAAATGAGACAAATATAAATTAATATTAACAATACCCACAGTTTGGTCAAAGAATAGCTACAGAAGAAATTGCACTAAAAAAACCAACAAACAGCACACATGTGTAATTAGCAGTTTCAAATATACAGCTATGAATAATTCTGAGTGAAAAAAATGGCACATTTTCTTTTCATTGCAAGTTTTAACAACTGTTGGAACAGAACTAAATTCTAATAACTGCATGGAAAGGATATATCAACCCTTCAGGTTTACAATTAAAAGAGAAAAACCAAATCCTGAACTATTATTCCTGTGGCTTGTTCTGTGCATGGGTGTAATTTTCACAGCCATCTGTTCTAAGATTATTTTTCTTAAGACACAAAATGCTCCTGGTTTGCATGCACAATATCACTGGAAAAGCAACAATTAAAGAATAACGGTTTTTTTGTAGATTAGTTTTTGTGTTTTTTTTTGTTGTTGTTCTAAAAGTAGTCTTCATAGCAGCATGTCACATGGGTTCGTTGCTTGCACACTCAAGTATATCAGTTGTTCCTTTACACAATACCGATGACCAGTGCAAGGGGAGAGAGGAGACACGACAGGCTTCACACTGCGGGCGGGGACCAGAGAGCTGTTTCCTTAAGTCCCCAACGACTCCTGAAAGGTGCACCTCTTCCAAAAAATTAAAAAAAAAAAAAATACGGAGAAAGAGAAGGAAACAGACACAAAACTGGAATCCCGTGGCTGCAACTTAACCGCACAGCTCCAGGCCAGGTCCAGCCAGCCAAAGGTGACTACAAACATGCGCCCTCCTCCTGGGACTTGGCGCCGACCCTCCCTCTTCCAAGCCACCAGGGGTCTCCCACCTCAGGTCGCAGGCGAGTGGCAGCAGGATCAGCAGCCTGTGTGGAAACCGGCAGAGAGGAGGTGACCCGACAGTCCCAGGATCGCCTGAGCTGGCCCTCCAAGGTCAGGCAGCCAAGCAGGCCTCTTCCCCACCTCTGGAAACAGCACGGGCCGGAAGGTTCTGCTCCAGGCCTCTGGAATCCGGCCCTCAATTTCACAGCTTTCTCTTTTGTATGTGAATATCAGTAGTGCTTGTGCTGACATCGGCAGCCACCTGGAGCCTAATCCTATGTCAAATGACACTCTGCCCCCCAGTCCCGCATCCCAGCCCTGCTCGGGGGGCCTGGGGCTAGAAGACAGAATCCTCTGTGGCGTCCTCACGTTGGCCTTTGTTCTCCAAAGCCGTAGCCGCGGACCGCGGAAGAACATGTGCTCCCTTCTCTTGGTCCTCTCCCAAGTCCCAAGCCACCAAATGTGGGAGAATTAGAAAGAAAATTGACAAAGTACACACCGTGTGTTTTTACAGCCACTAGGGTACGGTAGGAACCAAAACCAGCAGCTGCAGATGATCAGCTGTAGAATCAGCAGGCTTCCAAAGCAATCGGGAGTTGCACTCCCACCTTTTAATTGTCTCCAAGATCCAGCTGTCTCGCTGGCTTTGCGAGGCCAGGCTCCCTCTCCAGAAGAAACTGAACTGTTTGGAAACAGCTTTAAATTAATGGGTGGGGGTGGGGGTGGGGGTACACCATTACCACATCACCCCAATCCCTGACATCACCTCCCCCACCCCCGGCTCTGCAGGACAAATGTCATGTGCACCAGCAAGAGGCCTCAGCCCTTAGGTGGGCATTGGCTTGGTCTCAGGCACGGCACCACCCCACACACACACCTGCCCAGAAGGCAGGCTGTTGCTGACTGGCACCTGCAGATGTCCCATCATTTGCCACAGGGTGACTATACTGCAATATCCAAACGAAAAATTCTCCCAGGAAAGGAGCTGTCCCCAGCGTCACCCCACCCCTTTAGCTGGGACCCAAAATGAGAGAATTTAATGAGTCAAACCAGCTCATTAGCCAACACTACCAACACGGCTGGGAGCAGCAGGCAAGGGGGAGGGGGTGAGTTCCATTTCTCCACTAAAGGAAAATTCCTTCTCCCTAAAAAAGCAAACAGCAAGCCAGGACCATGCATGGTCAAAAGACCAGACACAATCTTTGCACTAGGCTGGCTTTGCCTCGCCTCGACTGAAGACGTCCCAGGCCATCGGGACCTTGCCTCCCAATCCCACCTGTGGCTCAGTCCGGGCGGCTGGCTCCAGGAGCCTCTGGGAGAGTGACCGACCCAAAGCTGAAGCCGGAAAAGGGCCTCCATGCAGAAACCTCAGTCCTTCCCCGGGCCAAGCAGCCCGAGGCCCCGCTGTAGCCCCTCCAGGGGCAGCAGCAGCCTTGCCCACCCCGGATCCAGCAAGGGCGCAGGCCACGGGCACATCAGTCGTTCCCCCAAGTGAGAGGTCAGTGGCCTCGGTGGTTCTGAATGCGTCTTCTGGGTTTTGCACAAGGTCTGTGAGTTCAAAAGTGCCCAGAGTTCTTGACAGGGCTGAAAAAAACCCCAAGGAGATTAACGTGGGTGTGGAGAGGCCCTTGGTGGCTTTGCTAGACACATACTGTACACAAAACTGATCTGTTTAATAATAAATTTTTAAAAATGCATTGAATCCTTGAGCCATGGCGCGGGCTACAGGGCTCACCGATCCAGCCCTAGAAGGAGCCGCTTCTTGTCCTCCTGGCCGCTCTCATTCTTCAGGTCGGAGAACACCTGTGTGAAGTAGTGCGGGTCCGCGTTGATCTGCAGCATCTTGGAGCTCATGAGGTTGATGACAGAGAGGCAACGGTCCCAAAAGGCCTCCTTGCAGCTCTCCACCAGGAAGGGCTTGAGCGGGTAAGAGATCTCGTTGCCCATGTAGGAGTAGGAGAGGTACAGGCAGGTGAGCAGGACGGCCTGGAGCTCGTGGTCGGAGCCCACCTCGGAGGAGATAACATCCCTGCAGAGCATGTAGAGGAAGACCACGTTGGCCGGCGTGATGAAGCCCTGGTCCTGCCAGCCCTGCAGAAGCAACGAGCGGTCCACACTGCGCAGCCAGAGCACGGGGTCCGTGGGGGACAGGTGCTTCAGGCGGTAGCACCGGCGGCAGAGAAACTCGCCCAGGCAACGCAGCAGCTCGCTGGTGGACGCCTGGACGATGACCCGTTTGGGTGTCCCTGCGGAGGTGACGGCGGGGTGCGGGGCCTTCTTGACCGAGGAGACCCCGGTCTGGGAGCCCGAGAGCTGGCTGGCCGGGGGTGCGGGCGGCTGGGCCGGTGGAGGCTGGGCGAATGTGGACAGGTTGGCGCACGACAGCGACTTCTTCAGGTTCTCATTGTTGAGGTGCGTGATGTTGTTCTGGTAGCTGCTGTTGGGCTGCACCTTCTTGGAGTTCTTCTTCTTGGCCGACACGGCCACGATCCTCTTCCAAGGCAGCACGGAAATGATGGAGTGCCGCTTCAGGTTCTTGTCCTTGGCGTTCTTGCTGTTCTGCACGGCCGTGTAGTGGCCCACCGTGGCCGCGCCATCCTCAAACAGCGTGGCCTTCCGGTAGCTGGGGGACAGCGACAGCACCGTGCCCATGGTGCCTGTGCGCGCCGGGCGGGGGCCCGCGCCCCTGCGCGCCCAGCCTGCCGGCCGGAGGGGGAAACCGGCTCACCGAGGCTGCGGCGGCCCGGGGAGGAGGCGGGGGCGCTCCCGGGACGCGTGCTGCCCTCGGATCTGCGTGGAAAACAAGATGGTTCTCAGCACAGGCGGGGCTCCGCGCCGCGCCCCTCGCCCGTCGCCCCTCGCCCCGCACCCGCGCGGCCCTTCCCGGGCTCCGGCCCCGCCCGCGCCCCGCAGCCGCCGCCGCCACTGCAGCACCCGCCGCCGCCGCCCTGCGTCCGCGGCGCAGCCCGGAGGGCCGGATGCTGGCAGAGCCTGCGGGACCCCGCCGCGACGCCCGCGCGGCCCGACCCCGTCCCCGCCGCGACAGCGACGGCCCCGGCGCAGCCTTACCCGGCAGGCGGCGGCTCCTGCGCTCCGCGCCCTCCGCAATGCGCGCCGCGCTCGGCCGCCGCGGTCCGGCGCTCGGCGGGCGCTCGGCGGGCTCGGCGGGCTCGCGCGCGGCGGCGCTCCGAGCTTCTGTCCAAGGTTCTGCAGGCGCGGCCCCGCCCGCCGCCGCGCCGCCGCGCTCCCGCCGCCCGGCGCGACCCCGGCGCCTCGCGGCACGCGCGCGGCGGCTGCCTCGCCGGGAAGCCCGCGGCCGCCGCGTCCTCAGCGCGAGCCGCGCGCCGTGCGGGTGGGACGCGGCGCGAGCGGGAGGCGCCTCTACGCGCCGCGCGCCATCTGCCAGCCCGGCCCGGCGGCGGCGGGCGGTGCACGCGGCCCGGCCCCGCCCTCGGTGCGCCCTCCCGCACAGCTCGCCGCCCGCCCGCGACACCGCCCAGCAGCAGCCCGGCCGCCGACCGGCGCAGCCCAGCTCCAGCCCGCGGGGCCGGGGCCGCGCCGGGGAAGGAGGGGCCGAGCGCCGACCCCGCCCGCGCCCCGCCCAGACACGTGCTGCCTTTGTTCCCGCCGCGGCTCCCGCAGCCGCCGGCCGCGGGGGCGCTCTCAGCCGCGCGCGCGCCTGGCCACGGCGGCCTGCGGCTGCCGCCCGGCCGCGTGAGAAGCCCCGCACCGAGGCCTGGCGCCCAGCTCCCTCCTTCCGTTTGACAGCCGCGTCCCCGGGAAAGAGGCCAGGGAACGCGGGGAAGAAGGCCCTGGGCGGGCAGAGGCGACGCCTTTACTGAGCCGCCGGAGCGCCCCGTGCATCCCGAGTGGACAGGCCATTCGGTTCCAGTGCCATCCCCTCCGGTCCCCTCATCCCGGGTAAATGCCGCGGCCCAGGCAGGTCTCAGCAGTCCAGGCCAGAGAGGCCGGGCGGTTCTGGCCACTCCGCAGAGTGGCTGGCTTTCCGCGCCACACCTGGTACAGGGCTTGAGGCCAGAGGAGCCAATCCTGAGCCCATCACAAATAGGACCTCGAAATTTCCATGCACCCGTTTATCTGTTATATTAAAATTGAAGCAACTGGACTGCCAGCCAGCCTTCTGACCCTCTGATTTAAATCATTCTCATTTTCTAAAAATGTTTAATTTGAAAACTGGATGCTGGTAAAATTGAGCAAAATTCTGGTTCTGGATAAGAACTTCTATTACAGACATGAATCCAGATCCTTCACAAAGGCCACTGTTCACTTATTATTTTATTTTACTTTGGTTTTAAAGATTGATTCAAATCTGACCACGAACCTAGGAAACAGGAGACCCAACCATATCTTAATTCAGATTATCGCCTCTGGACCTAGAGATGGGGGAGTGGTGCTCCGAAGAAGAGGATAAGAGGATTAACACCCAATTTCCTGACCACTGCAGCACTCTAGGCTGCCAACCTGTGCCACCTCTGCCAACTGCCCTGGGCGGGTAAAAGGAATCTGTTATCATTCAGAACAATGCTGCCATCAAGGTAGTGCTAGATTTTAGGTACCACTCAGAGATTTCTCTGTCCATAGTGGTAACTCACAGCTGAAGGGGGTGGAAGCTGCACCGCTCTGTACCCAGAGGGCTACTCCTTCCCTGGCCCTTCGGAATGTCCACAGCAGCTAGTATGGTAACTTGGAAGGTGAAGACAGGCTCTTGGCTCAACGTGCCCCATGTTCCTCAGTGCACAGCCCTACCTGCTCTTCACAGGGAGCTGTCCTCAACCCTCCTTTCCCTTACAGTAAGAGGCTTGAAGTTGGGACTCTCAGGTCCCCTGGCTCAATGTCTCCCTCTCACAGGCAAAGCTGAACCCCAGCCTCTCTTCCCCCTAGTAGACAGGATCAGCTCGAGTTGCTCCATGTCCACAATGCCTTTTCTGTGTCTCATGCCCCCTTCAGGTTCTAGTGTTGAGCAAACGTTAAATTTTGCTTTCCATTTCCCAAAATATGCCCAGATCTCTAAGCCTGTAACCCATCCCTTATAAAAACCTGGGCCCACTCTTACCTATAACTGAATTCAATTCCAGCTATTCCAGTTCCCACCTCACCCCACTGTTTCCCGTATCAAAGCAGCATGTGTTTGCACAGGCCTTTTCCAGCCAGGCCACACCCCAGTGTCCTCTATCCCCTTTGTCCAGCCAGCCCTTCCCTAGCACCTTCCAAAAGAGCTCCTTGCCAGGCACAGTGGTGCGCACCTGTAGTCCCAGCAACTCAGAGGCTGAGGCAGGAGGATCACTTGAGCCCAGGAGTTCGAAGCCAGCCTGGGCAACATAGTGAGACCGTCTCTTAAATAAAATAAAAATTAAAAAAAAACTAACTCCATTCACTGCTGTGACCAGGGAAGAGGTTGTCAGGAACCCCCACCCACCAAGGCACCACACACCTCCCATCACTACTCCAACTGGGAAGCAAGTGAGAAAGGGCAGTCATGCAGCTGCCAGAAATGGTAGCATCGAGGACCCAGAAGGCAGACCCAGCTGAATGATGCAGGGCTGACTTTGCCTTCATCACAGAACTACAGGGAAGATCCCCAAATCCCACCCCCATCAATCAGCCTCTCTCTGGCTGCCTGCTGGGCGGGGCAGCTAAGGAGCAGGAGCGTCCCCTCCTCTGCATGCCCCACTTCCCACGCCATCCACCCCGAGGGAGGCCAAAGCCATGGCCAGCTACAGCTTCCAGGAGGGATCCAAATAGAGCCAGCCTGAACCCTGACTCCTGAGGAAGTATCCTTAGTTCTTACAGGGATCACAGAGCAGCACCTAGTGGCCCTTCTGGGCAGCGCAGATTACATAACTAGCACACAACAGGGCACCACAGCCTCTGCTCCCAGTGCCAGCAGCGTGTCATGAACACGTAACTCAGTCCTGGCACTGGTTAGGCTAGAGCCCAGAAGGGAGCCAAGATGAGGGCTCCCATGGCCAGCGACCCTCTCAGGTGTGCCCAGACTAGGTTCACAAGGGGGACAGGGTGTCTCAGGAAGCAAGGAAGGGCACAACTACTGTTCCTGGAGGTACAGAGCAGCACTGTCCAAGAGAAGGTAAGTGTCAGCCACAAACACAAGCCACATAGGTAATTTAATATTTAGCCACATTTAAAAAGTAAAAACAGGTGAATTTTAATAATACAGTTTATTTAACCCAATGTACCCAAAATATTTCATCCCATTTATAAAAACGTTACTGAGATATTTTATATTCTTTTTTTCACAGTAAGCCTTTGAAGTCTGGTTTCTACTTGCAGTGCATCAGTTCCAACTAGCCTCATGGTAAGGGCTCGGCCACGTGTGTCCAGCAGCTACATACAGGACAGTGCAGGTCTAGGAGTCACAGTCACTGACCAAGACCTGCAAAAGGAGCAGAGAAAAAGGCTCCTGCCTGGAGCTCCTCGGGACTGCCCTAGGTTTGGGAAACCCTCTCCCCTCTGCTCCAGCTGCAGGTCTCTGTACCTTTTAAAAGTCCTTCACAGGCCGGGTGCGGTGGCTCACGCCTGTAATCCTAGCACTCTGGAAGGCCAAGGCGGGCGAATCGTTTGAGCTCAGGAGTTTGAGACCAGCCTGAGCAAGAGCGAGACCCCCGCCCCGTCTCTACTAAAAATAGAAAGAAATTAATTGGCCAACTAAAAACATATAAAAAAAGTTAGCCAGGCATGGTGGCGCATGCCTGTAGCTACTTGGGAGGCTGAGGCAGAAGGATTGCTTGAACTCAGGAGTCTGAGGTTGCTGTGAGCTAGGCTGATGCCACGGCACTCTAGCCACGGGAACAGAGTGAGACTCTGTCTCAAAAAAAAAAAGTCCTTCACAGAAACAAAACTCTTTCTGCAAGTAGAATATACACAGAGAAAACTGCAAATGGGCCGGGCGTGGTGGCTCACGCCTGTAATCCTAGCTCTCTGGGAGGCCGAGGCGGGCGGATTGCTCGCAACCAGCCTGAGCAAGAGCGAGACCCCGTCTCTACTATAAATAGAAAGCAATTAATTGGCCAACTAATATATATATATATATATATATATTATATAAAATTAGCCGGGCATGGTGGCGCATGCTGTAGTCCAGCTACTTGGGAGGCTGAGGCAGAAGGATTGCTTGAGCCAGGAGATTGAGGTTGCTGTGAGCTAGGCTGACGCCATGGCACTCACTCTAGCCTAGGCAACAACAAAGCGAGACTCTGTCTCCAAAAAAAAAAAAAAAAAAAAAAAAAAAACTGCAAATGGCTGAACTACTCACACTGGAGACAGGGCCCCCCAGGGCCACTCCAGGGGTCTAAAGCAATATGAAAATCACTACTTTTAAAGATTACAAAAAGAAACTAAACCACAAAGGAATGTCAGGACTCCAGACACTTGCACTTGCTTTACTTCATATGACCCTCACATCACAATCACCTACTAAGAAATGGGCTCCAGGGAATCTTACCTCCCAAACCTCCATGTCCTCGCTGGACCATGCTGCCTTGGGAAAACAGAGATACCTGAACTCCACTTCCAATTTCAGACCTCACAGACCAACTTTCTGACCCTACCAAATTTAGACCCCAAATTTGGCTAAAGGACTTCCATTAAGCAAATGAGATAACAGGGCTTTGGCCAGACTAGAGGGTTAGGCCATTATTGGGCTACCTGGAGCTGTTAGGGCTTGCTCAGAAGCTGTCCAGCACTCAAGAAAAGACACCTTTTGAAAAAAAAATTATTTTTATTGGAACTCATCTGAACATCAGATATACCTGGTGTTGGTTAGCAAGAACCGTTTGTACATTTGATATTGATGGTGCCAAACCAAAACAGTGACTGGACATGATGGGGAAAGATGTTAAGAACAAAAACCTGATTTTGGAGAGGAAAATAAAAGCCAGTCAGATTCAGTGAAGATGCAAAACCTGGTACAACAAAATCCTTTTACAAAATATAAATTTATTACGAAAACCTGGAAGGATAATCTGAGAAAGGTAAAGAAAGAGAAAAGGAGGCCAGCAGGAGGAGGGAGAGAGGAAAAAAGACAAAGAAATGAGAGAAGAAAATATTAAGCACAACAAAGGTGCAGAAGCTTACCTGCCCAAATGGCATTAAGCCTTGCTATGAAATCGCATCAGAAACAAAGCATGCTGACATACAGTGCTCTACCTCCCATCGGTTCGAGTTCTAAGAGGTAAATAAAGAAGCTCCCTGGAAGGGGACATGAGGTTGCTTGAAAACCCAACAAGGAAATTTTTTTTTTTTTAAAAAGAAAACCACACCCCATAGTCTCATTTCCGATGTTCACTGTTTAAAAAGGAATAAATCCATCTGACAGCAGGAGAGGAGTGGGAGAGGGAGAAGCTGATGGATTTCAGACACCCCAACTCCTCTGGAGAGGAGGAGGAAGGAAGAGACATGTGATGGTCTCCTGGCTGAGAGAGAGGAGGGGAAGGGAGGGCAATAAAAACACTGACAGTCTAATCTAGTTTACTGTGTTTAAAAAAAAAAAAAAGCCACATGCACAGCAGGCCCCCTGGGGGCTAAGGGCCCACACTGCTCCCCGTGTGGCCATGGTGGACACTAGCTCCTGGCCTTGTCCCCATTCCTTCACAGGTCAGGTCAGAGCGGAGCTGTGCAGGTGCTGCTGCTGCTGCTGCAGAGGTGACGGCGGCGGCGGGACCTTCGGCTAGTCTGCTGGAGCCAGCGTCGGAGGGGAGGGGAGGGCGGACAGGCCATGTGGCAGGGGAAAGAACACCGAAACGCCTCATTTCAAATAAAAAAGAAAACAGCAGTCTATACACAGTTGTTTGTTTTGGTTCAGTACAAACAGAATAAAAAGTCATTGCTTTTGATGGTCAGCAAACACCCAATTCTGAAGAGCAGAGGTGACGCCCAGCAGGTGGATTAGGACCCCCAGTGGTTGGCGGGGTGCCTGGCTTTGCGGCCCTCTCCCAGGAGGCAGAGAGCACAGCTTTAGGTAGTGTAAGCCTTTTTCCTTTTATTTAGAATAATCTTTTTTTTTTCTTTTTCTTTTTTTTTTAAGCAATTTCCCCACTCCCAAGTTGGGCCAGTAAAGATTACATGAAAACTGGCACACCTATTGGCTGGAATACAGATGCACCAAATGAGGATTTAAAAACTTTCCGAGCGAAAAGTAGAACAAAAAGAAAAAAGAATCTCCTAGCATTTTCCCCAAGGTTTCACTCTCCCGCCACACACACTCTCCAAAGGACCGCTACAGATCCAACTCTGCAAGAGAAGACAGAGCAGTGTCAATCGGGAAGCCGTGAGGACACCAGGAGGAGGTTTTCAGTCTCGACAGGCAGAAGACAGTGCTGCCCGGCCCTGGGTCCCGGAGCCAGCACTCACCTATGTCAGTTTCTTGGCTTTGTTGTAGAGGGAATCCACTACTTTACTCATGTTCTGAATTGTTTCCAGAGCAGCTTCGTAAGTTTTATCTACTGGGGGTTCATCGAAAATAATCAGGACACCCTCCCCCTGGTCCAAAATCCCTGCAGGAGACACAAGGACAACCCAGGTAAAACACGAGATTAGACACAAAAGCATTTGTGAAGCAGCCCGCTCCCCAGTTGTCTTTCTCCAGAAAAGAAGGGAAACAGAACTTGTCTCCCTGTTCCATTTGTACAAGTTTATTACACATTCTGATCTCAGGGAAGAGGGGCCAGGATCCCAGGGAACCATCAGGAGAAACAAAGAGAGCACCTCCTTTAAAGATAAACGTCTTCAATCATTTCATCGCCACCAGCAGCCCCCTTGCCTGTATGACTGCTACTCACCATGAAATTTCTTGTCAAGAATCATCTGTGATAATTTCCTTTCCACGTCGGCCTAAAATCAAAGCACGTGATTAAAGGGACCAGTATCCACTAGCCAGAGATCACCCCAACACGAAAGCTTTATAGAAGGCAAATGGACTGAAAACAAAACAGCAACAATGCAACGCCAGCTCTGAGGCCACATCCCCTGTTCCCCACTAAGCCTGGGAGCTTTCTAGAAAGGCCCATCAGGTACAAATGCCAGCCCCTCCATACCACGCTTTCCCCATCCTCACCCCCTGGACAGCCTCAGGACTCCTTACCTTGGAGAGTTTGATGAGACTAGATATGTGTTCAATCTAAAAGGAAAGGCAGAGAGACACCAACACTGAAAAGTTTTACTTTGGCCTCCAACAGGAAAAGGGAGGAATATGGGGAGAACTGCTGTTGAAATCCTGCTGAATGTCTCTATGGGGAAAGACTGTCCTTGGCCATGCTTAAGTCTCTTGTGCTCTGCCCATCTGCCTGCCCTTCACGGCTACAGACAATAAGCACATGCCTGTCCCTCACACTCAGTGACTACGAAAGGAGGAGACTGCACTCAGAACATGTGCAATCTTGGCTGGTCCGAAGGTAGTGAGTTATCTCACGTGATTGTTCACAGTCAGTTACAGATTGAACTCCTCATTCTACTACTTTCTCCCCTCCTCACTATTGCACTTGACTAGTCTTAAAAAAAATAAAAATTAAAAAAAAAAAAAGAACATGTGCAAATCTCACACGCCCACAAGCTGTTGGTGGTCTCTTGCCCACCAGGCACACTCTTGGAAGAAAGTTCTTATTCTGGACAAGAGTGGGAAGGTGGTGACTACAGTGAGGATGCCTAGCCAGAAACAATTATAGAGTCCCGGGAGGGTTCTTACCTGTACTCGGGAAAAAGGTTCAATGACTCGAATTAGATTCTGTTCCAATAAGTTATCATATAACTTGGCCAAGTGTGTGCTGATGATTGGGTCATCCCGGAGCTCTGCCCGGTAATCTGTCAGGGCCTGCCAAAAGACCCAGTCACAGAGATTGGCACAGAAAAGCACTTTAAATTCATGCTACTCCTAGCTTCCTAAGTAGTCTGCTGGCCCTTATAACTCCCATGGTTGAATGAATTTCTGGGATATTTGGGGAGATGACAGAAAGCAAAAGAAAAGGACCATCAAGAACTAAAAGGTGGGCCGGGCGCAGTGGCTTATGCCTGTAATCCTAGCACTCTGGGAGGCCGAGGCAGGTGGATTGTTTAAGCTCAGGAGTTTAAGACCAGCCTGAGCAAGAGCAAGACCCCATCTCTACTAAAAAAAAAAAAAAAAAAAAAAATTGAAAAAAAAATTAGCTGGACAACTAAAAATATAAGAAAAAATTAGCCAGGCATGGTGGCACATGCCTGTAGTCCCAGCTACTTGGGAGGCTGAGACAGGAAGATTGCCTAAGCCCAGGAGTTTGAGGTTGCTGATGCCATGGCACTCTAGCCCCGGCAACAGAGTGAGACTCTGTCTCAAAAGAAAAAAAAAAAAAAGAACTACAAGGTGGACTGACTATCTGACTATCTGTCTCTAAGAAAGCTTCATGCCAACAGCTCGAACCACTAATCCCTAAGAGCAGCTCAGCTGGTGAGCCAAATAACTACACAAGCATTTCTCAGCACATGTTCCACAGAATAGGATCTCCATTGAAAAAAATAATAATAATAAGATTAGATAATGGGAAATGCTGAATACCACTACTAGCTCTTGGGAGTTTTATGAGGATCAATAGCATAGTATGGCTCTGCAGGTGAGAGAAAACAAAACACCTTTCTAATTTTATTTATCCTAGTATTTCCTAAATATCTGATCACAGAACCCTTTTTCCAAGGAATTACTTAAAATAGAAGTGTCCCATCCCTATCCCAAACATTGGGATAAAATAATCTAGACTGTTTATTCATATGTGTGATTTATTTATCTTTAGTTTTGGTCTCAATATCCTAGCCACATGTCAGCTGTGCTAGAAAGTGTTAAAGGACACAGGTGAATCATGCCAAGTAAGGGACCACAGGGATTAGCAAGAACCCTCCAGGAAGATGATGAATCTTGGGGACAGTCAAGGTCATGTGGTCTAGTCTCCATCCTCACTAAGTTTTCCTTTCTGGATCTATGTTTTTCTTTTTTCTTTTTTTTACAGACAGGGTCTCGCTCAGTTGCCGATGCTAGAGTGCAGTGGCGTGATCACAGCTCACTGAAACCTCACACTCCTGGGCTTAAGTGATCCTCCCTCAGCTTCCTGAGCAGCTGGGACTATAGGTGCATGCCATCACACCCAACTATAGATTTTGTTTTTATTAAGTTAGTCATTATACTCAGACTAAGAGGAGAGAAGTTTAGAAAAGTCAAGTCCTACTTTCTAAGGCTTAGCGAAGTTTCTCTCCCTTTTAGAAACTTCCCAAAAAATAAGCAAAAGGCACAAGCATCAAAGAAAGCCTAGAACACACCATCCTGAGGAAGTTTCTTTTGGCCAAAGTGTGCACATTGAGACTTATCCAGACCTGGCCCTTTTGGAGATGAAGGTGTGAATACCTGTGACTATGCCATATGGAACAAGCACCAATCCTGGAATCAAACCCTGACACCCATGAGCTGTGTGACTTTGGGCATCCTCCTGAATCCCAGTTCCCTCAACCATAAAATGAAGATAATAGGTCTGCTGTTAAAAAGCAAAGTAAAAAAAGGATGACAGAAAGAACTTTTTAAAACTGAAAAAAAGTATTACATACAAATGATATGTAATTTATATCAATTCAACAAGATTCACTGTTACAAAAGTGCTTAACTATTTCCTGGTTTTGATAATGTACTGGGTGACTGGTACATGGAATCTCTCTGTACTGTTAATATCTTTGCAAATTCTTATGAAACTATAATTTTAAAAATTAAACATCCCTCTCCTCCACCCATTCCCTACCAACCCAATACCATGCTCACCTTTTCAAAATCTGCCAGTGATCTGTTCTTGCTAGCCTGAGCCACACATTTTAATGCTTCTGTCTGAAAATAAAGAGACAAGTTGTGAAAGTGATCTATTCCGTACACTGATATCCACCCAAAAAGTCCCATAAGCATTATGCTATGTCCACATAACCTCTGCTACAAGAAAGGACCCACCCCACCATCATTCTTCAGAGGCCTGGGAAGAGAAGCTATAAATACTGAATATCACTATATGCCTACTAGTTTCCCTTTGAAACCTGAGATGACTTAAGAATACTAGGCAACACAAGGTTTTCCAAAAAGACAGACCCTGATACAGCATTCTCCAAAGATGACAGGCTAAAAGGGAAAGTGATAAAAGAACTGCGATGTCTTTTCCCCTCCCTTATCTCCACATCCACCAAGCTCCCTCCAGCCCTTACTGCTGATTATACCTGTGCTTTATCAAGATTCATTCTGCTAGATTTGGTACAAACCACTGAACAAGGTTTACTTTCACTAGAGTTGAAGCATCAAAATTGAGGTACCAACATACTATACACTGAATGTTAAACCCTGGGGAGAGATGAAGGTACAATCAGTAGTTGAGAGCCACTTCTAACCTGGTTAGAAAAGGTGCCTGCCCAACCTATCAGGTCTCCACTTAGCAAGAAATCTGCAACACTCTTATTTCTAGATCAGCCTAACTCCTGCTCACAAGCTGTCATCAAGGTATAAGGGACCAGAAGGAGCTCCTCTTCTTTCAGCCTAGGTAATTAAATAAGGACAGTGTCTTACACAGTAGACTAAATATGTAGTTTGTCTCCAACATTTGTCCTACAGACAGAACAAATGTCAAAATGAGAAAAGCCTGAAACTTAGAGCCTAGTTCAAAGTCTGGATCCACCATTTATTAGCTACCTGACCTCAACCTGGACACTTGACTTCTCTGAGCCTGTCTCCACAACTCTAGCTCTAGTCAGCATAGTGCATCTCTCACTATAGTAATAAACAGTGTTCTTGAGGTTAAAACTAGGAGCTGACCTAAAACTTTCACTGATGAAAAGCCAATTTGAGCCACTGAAGAGAATGAAGGAATCAGCTGCTATGGACATTCCTCCAGAGATAGTGGCGATATACAGAGAGTCAACCTGTCTGTTTAGAGACAACTGCATTTGAAATCCAGAAAGATCACTTTTACTTTACTATTGATAATTATGCAAAGTACAAATAGGGGATGGCCCAAATATCTAAGACATCATCTTTATAAACATAACTGCTCTCAGAGGTCACACTCATACCTTCTTGGGCATTAAGTTAGCAAAAAAAAAGGTCCTTTTTTTCCACCACACCCCAAATTCAAGGCATGAATGCAAAGGTACTGATCTGAGGCTCTCAGGTAAGTCTGAAAACCTAGTTTCTGCATCAAACAATCTGACCTCCCTAAAAGACATACGCACCAGACCTTACCAGGCTCCTGACTTAGAGAATCCAAAATTCCATATTCCACACCAATGTTAAATTCACAAGTCAGGTTCATGGGAGATAAATCCTCTGGTCAAAGCTAAAAGCAACCTAACTCACCGCAAATGCTACAGTTCAGTTATTTAAGTCCCTCAAACCACCCGATGACGTCCATAAGAGCACCAAACACTGACTTCCCAGGCCAAGAATTTAACAATATAGGAAATACACTGAATAGGCTTAAGAGAAGGAAGTGGGTGGGGAAGAAGTGAGTAGAAGGAAGCCCCAAAAGAGCACTGGTCTCATCAAACATCGTGACTCTGACAACATGCTGATCTCAAAATGACAAACTGCAGTCAAGGTATCCCTACCTGCCTCCCTGCATACCGAAGTGCAAGCTTCCCGCTCACCAAAGCCTGGACATCTTCTGGGCTAGAAAAAAAGACATACTTGGTAAATTGCTCCAAGGTGTTATGTTTCTAAGTATAGATTATGGCCAATTTCTTTTTAACAAAATTCCACCGTGAAGACTCTGCCCACAGAGATAATCAGCCCAGCCCCAACCCTTAAACCCACATGCCCTTCATACTACAAAAGCTAGGTTTTCTCCTCTCTGGGTCAAAGCTCAGCACTAGAGAGTAGAAAAACTCAAACATTAAAAAAGAAAGCCAAATTGAACCTAACAAAACCAATAGACCCAACAAGCAGAATGATAAGTATAAATCAAAGCCTAGTATAACAGGTCTTATTAAAACATAGCCCCAAGGCCGAGGTGGGCAGATCATTTGAGCTCAGGAGTTCGAGACCAGCCTGAGCAAGAGCGAGACCCTGTCTCTACTATAAATAGAAAGAAATTAATTGGCCAACTAATATGTATAGAAAAAATTAGCCAGGCATGGTGGCACATGCCTGTAGTCCCAGCTACTTAGGATGTGGAAGCAGGAGGATTGCTTGAGCCCAGGAGTTTGAGGTTGCTATGAGCTAGGCTGTCGCCACGGCACTCACTCTAGCCTGGGCAATAAAGTGAGACTCTGTCTCAAAAAAAAAAAAAAAAAAAACATAGCCCCTATGTAATCCAAAGATAGCCCTACTTAATATTTCATTTATTCCCAAAAGAATTTTAATAATTCTGTGGACTTCTTTGGGGGGCATTCTGTCATATTTGGCTACTTTTTCAAACCACTCCTTAACCTTTCCTTCCCCATTTTGGGGGACCCAGCTGGCTGGCAATGGCTAGTCCATGAGCTATTTCTTAACTCTCTGTCCTGTGCTCAGCACCGATGAGGACAGAATATTTGAAGGATGAAAAGAATTCTTTAAGAGGGACTGCAAAGGGGATTTCTAAAATCCATCTCCCTGATTCTGAAAGACTAGCAAGCAAGAGGGGGCTGGAATACCTTTGATCCTCCCACTCTACTTCAACCAGCCCTAGGGGCTGTGGCTGCTTCACTAACTGGCCAAACTCCCTGCCCAAGCCATCTCTGCCATGGCAGACAGGCTTAGCTAAAGAACTTAAGTTCTTATATTCTAGAGTTAATGTGCACCTACGTGTTGAGCATGATTTTACACAGCAACATGTACTTCAGAGATGTGATGGCCTTGGGGCTATCAATGGAGTCGTAACCTTCAAATGCCTCATAGAAGTATGAGTATGCAGTTTTCCAGTCCTTTTCCTCTGCTGCATGGATAATACCTGGGCATTAAAAAGAAAGGAGTAAGAACCATATAAAATAATAGAATCATACAAAATCAGAGCTGGGAAGGGTCTTAGAAATCTACCCCAACCCCATCAACTCATTGATGAGCTCAGGAAAGGATAAAGGACCAGCCCAAAGTCATAGTCAGCTAGTGAGAGCTGAGATTAGAATCCAGGTCTTTGGCCTCCCAGCTCAATGTCATGTTGCCAGATTGCCAATATAAGTTCCCAAAGGAGTTAGAGACTCAACTCAAAGGGGATCCTAAAACCCACATACTACAGACCATCTTTTTCCTACACTTCTCACCCCATTCCACTTGTGCTATCTTTAGGAGCTACTAGCAGAGGCCATGTTTACCCTCCATAACATCACCTTTGCAGGTCAAGTTGACCCAACACCCCTATAGACTGCCTGAATGACCTCTTTTAATAACATCAACTACTTTCGGACAAGATAGCTTTTCTAAGCTTGACACTTTTACTTAAGCAACTTTCATGGGGTGGGAGGGGATACAACCTATTATATTTTTATTTAAAATATTTGTCATTTATGGATATGCTCATGCCTAGATGCAATCAGTCTATAGATCTCACATAATGACAAATCCATGAAGTTAACCATACATGGCTAAGCAGTATTTTTTTAGGCTGAAACACCATAGTTGACCTAACCAATCCTCTACCATTAAGAATCTGGATTGCTCCCAATGAACTTATCTTTGGACCTGCTATTACTTCCAACCTACGCTATCACTTGGGATAACATAAAAATTAGTTCCTTTCAAATTGAGTGACATCTAGGCCCTAAGACTCTGCACTTATGTATATTAGCACTAACTGTGCCCAGCCATATTCATCTGTTTACCACAGTGCTTCCAAACATTTTTCACATCAAGGTACATGTAGAGACCGGGTGCGGTGACTCATGCCTATAATCCTAGCACTCTGGGAGGCAAAGGCAGGTGGATTGCTCGAGGTCAGGAGTTCAAGACCAGCTTGAGCAAGAGCGAGACCCTGTCTCTACTATAAATAGAAAGAAATTAATTGGCCAACTAATATATATACAAAAAATTAGCCGGGCATGGTGGTACATGCCTGTAGTCCCAGCTACTCGGGAGGCTGAGGCAGAAGGATTGCTTGAGCCCAGGAGTTTGAGGTTGCTGTGAGCTAGGCTGACACCACGGCACTCACTCTAGCCTGGGCAACAAAGTGAGACTCTGTCTCAAAAAAAAAAAAAAAGAAAAAAAAAGGTACATGTAGAAAGTATTTATTAGCACACTAGAGTAAAAGGATGAAGCTGCTTATACATGATCCCAAGGAATCAATGTTTTAGCACACCATTAACCGTTCCCCCCCCAAGAATACCTATAGTACATGGCATGACAGCTGGAACTTCTGACTTAACTACTTATTGGGTGATATGTGCCATCCCCAAGTCCTTTTACCTTACCCAAAATGCCTCCCAATTTGGGCTGGAGGAATTAGGTCCTTTTTCTACCACTGCTCTTAAGTATAGAAGCCTGGAGGGAAATCTGTCCTTCTCTGCAGCCAAGGAGAACTCCCTTGAGAACACAACAAACTATTAATGCTGCTAAACTAAATGAGACACATTTTCCCATACCTCCCCGTACAAAGCTAGTAGAGACTAGGCCAGACCCAAAATAAGTATGGGTTTAAAAAAAAAAGTAAAATAAGGCTTAAGAATTGGCATACTGCTTTCTCAAACACATTTGTAAATTGGGGCTATATAAGCACTATAAGTATCATAATTGGCATATAAGGTTTATTATTAGAAAAAAAAATTAGATTGTCACTCATTCAACATAAACATTAATGAGGGTCAACCATGTGCCAGGCACTGATATGGCTACTAAGGCAAAAAGAAATACAAATAAGACCTTCAAAGAGGCTCACAGTCTGGTGGGAAAGATGGTCACCAAAACAGAAACAAGGAGATTGGTATAATAATAGGTACAAAGGATTTCCTTTGGTAGGGAAGTCCAAAAGCAAAGAAGAAAGTACAGAGGAAGGTTTATAGAGGAGACATCTGAGCTGTATCTAGAAGGATGTGTAGGAGTTTGCCATGGGGACAGGTGAAAGGGGAATTCCAAGCAGAGAAGGCAAAATAAATATACAATGGCAAAGAAGCAGGAAATAACATGGAGTACCCAGAGAGTATGAAGTTATGTGGTGACTCTGACTGAAAACCACAAATGAGAACGAAAACCAAAGAATGCCTTCCTTCTGAATGCCATGTTAGAGTAAAGTTTAAGCTGAGGTTAATGCAGACCCATTGGCGAATTTTAAACAAAGGAGTTATACTATCAGATTTGTGTTTCAGAAAAATAACATTGGGGCCAGTAAGGAAGATGGACTGAGAAAAGTGACTAGGGACAAGTTAGACCAGACCAGTTAAAAATGACTCCAGTAGTCTGGGCCTTAATTAGAGCAGTAGCTTATAAAGATGGAAAAGATAAGACATACTTAGAGACAAACTGAACATGATCTGGTACCTAACTGGATATGAGGGATGAATGAGATGAAGGAGTCAAAATTACTTCAAAGACCATAGTTTGAGCAGTTGAATCAATAATGATACCATTAACTAAAAGGACATGCAGAAAGGAACATTAGGAATAAATTTGGTTTTTGATGTGTTGAGACTAAGATAGATACCTATGGAATATTTAGGTATGTATGTCCATTAAGCAGCTAGAAATCTAGATCTAGGATTTAGGAAAGAGTGAATTTAGGAAAGAGGGAAGCTATCGGAGATCTAGATGAGGCCATTAGTGTTACATGGCAGCTAGAGCCATAGGAGAGTTTGGGATTAGACAGAAAATGGGGAGAACAAGAAGGGAAAAGAACTAAGAAAGCAACACTGAGGAACACCAACACTTAAGGGGCAGTCAGAAGGAAAAGGAAACAGCAAAGCTTGGCTGCTAATTAGTCCAGGGAGAACCGAGAAGACAATCTCAAAGAAGCTTAGGGTGTCTAACAAGGTTGAGTTACCCCCAAAAGTCAGAGATTATAAGGCAATTATTGACTTCTTTCTAGGAGTCAATAAAGACACCAAAGTAAGGATATTCTTTCAATTTTTTCCAGAAGCATGACAGAAAGGGGAAGATAAGTAACTTAAAAAGTAAAAAGAGCTGTGGGTTTTCAGCTGGGGCACCTCAAAGACTAAGAAGAGCTGAGAGGAGAAGAAAGACTAAAGACCAAGAAGAACAAAAAGGTGGAAAGATCACCCTTGATTAAGGGGTAAAAACAGATAATGATACAAATTCTGTAGAGGAAAGAGAAGAGGGCTCAAAATAAGAATGGCTTCTATTTCCTCTGAAAAATAGATGCAAGTTCTTCTCTTGACCACAAAGGTGGAGAATAGATTTAATAGAGCAGTGGCTTAAATGAAGGGCGAACAATTGGTTAAAAGCTTGATAAAAGCTTTACATTCATCATCTCATTTAATCCTCACCACAATCCTATGAGGCAATACAATTACTACCACCAATTTATAGGAGAGCTAAGAATAAAGCTAAAGATAAATTAAGTAATTTGCCCAAAGTCACACATTTAGAAATCAGCACAACAAAATGTCAACCTAGGAAAGCCCGATCCTAGCATCCCCAAGAAGCAAGAATGGCAGGTATTGTATTATCTTTTAAGGATGAGAGGTAACACAAGCGCTTTAAACTAGTGTTCTGCCTCCAATCCCAATGTCTCTTCAATAATGATGCCTACTTGGCCGGGAATGGTGGCTCACACCTATAATCCTAGCACTCTGGGAGGCCGAGGTGGGTGGATCGCTCAAGGTTCAGGAGTTCAAGACCAGCCTGAGCAAGAGCTGATAGACCATCTCTACTAAAAATAAAAAGAAATTAATTGGCCAACTAAAAAGATATAGAAAAAAATTAGCTGGGCATGGTGGCACATGCCTGTAGTCCCAGCTACTCAGGAGGCTGAGTGGCAAGAGGATTGCTTGAGCCCAGGAGTTTGAGGTTGCTGTAAGCTAGGCTAATGCCATGGCACTCTAGCCCGGGCAACAGAGTGAGACTCTGTCTCAAAAAATAAATAAATAAAAGTACTCCACCTGCCAATCCATGGCCTCCTAGCCCCAACATTCACCAACTCCATCAGAAAGCTGAGTACTATACTCAGTTGAAACTGGGGTATCTTCCCTTAAGCTATGATCTGAGGCCCTTCGGAAAAGTCCAATAAACTTTACAAAGGTCTCCAAGAGACAACAGAGTTGTGTTAGGCCAATTCTGAAGAGAAATGCTACCATTCCAAGTAGCTAAGAGGAATGTCAAGGGAGTGTTTTAAGCCTAAGTGAGACCTCTCTAGGGTTTGGTTCTAACAGGTTGCCTGTTCAAACACTGATAAGCATGTTAAGATAATTTAGGCAGTTAGTAGGAGGGGGGCAGCTGGTTTGTAAGGTAGCTTTCTGGGCGAGGCATAGTGGCTCAAGCCTGTAATCCTAGCACTTTGGGCAGCTGAGATGGGATGATTGCTTGATGCCAGAAGTTCAAGAGCAGCCTGAACAAGAACAAGACCTTGTCTCTACAAAAACACAAAAAAATTAGCCAGGCATGGTGGCACATGTCTATATTCCCAGCTACTAGGGAGGCTGAGGCAGGGGGAATAGCTTAAGCCCAAGAGTTTGCAGTTGCAGTGAGCTATGACAACACCACTGCACCCTAGGCTGGGCAACAAAGCAACACCCTGTCTCAAAAAAAAAAAAAAAGGTAAGCTTTATTATTGGTTTCTTTGAAGAAATTTGAGCCAAATCAACCAGTTTTATTCTCCAGCCTCAACCTCTATTCTTCCCACCTATAAGATAAGATGTGCTCTAAGAAACACATCCCAGGAGTAGCTACGGGTGTTACCTGACTGCATGTCCAAGGTGGCCTGCAATTTAGGGGGGCAGTAGATTGCATTTGCTGTGGTTCGAGCAGAGGTTAAGGCAGCTCGGGCTTTCGGCAAGTTGCTCAGGGCATGGTACGTTTTGCTTTCTAAAAGCTGTACTTCCACCAAAAGGGCTTTGTCATCCATCTTTTTCAACTCCCGAAGCAGCTGAGAACCTGAAGAAAGAAAAGATACATACTCCTTTGCTAGCCATAATCTTAATACCTTGATACTGTAACCTCTTATTCTCCCACCCTCCTAACACTCAGGATAAAGAAATCTGTCTATGGCCGGGCGCGGTGGCTCACGCCTGTAATCCTAGCACTCTGGGAGGCTGAGGTGGGCGGATTGCTCGAGGTCAGGAGTTAGAAACCAGCCTGAGCAAGAGAGAGACCCCGTCTCTACTATAAACAGAAAGAAATTAATTGGCCAACTAATATATATAGGAAAAAAAAAAAAAGAAATCTGTCTAAATTCCAAAACAGGTCCAGGCAAGGTGGCTCATGCCTGTAATCTTAGCACTCTGAGAGGCTGAGGCAGGAGGATTGCTTAATGTCAAGAGCTTGAGACCAACCTAAACAAAAGTGAGGACCCCCCCCCCATCTCTACTAAAAACAGAAAAATTAAGATTAGCTGGGCATCCTGCTGCACACCTATAGTCCCAACGACTTAGGAGGCTGAGGCAGTAGCATTGCTTGAGCCCAGGAATTTGAGGTTGCTGTGAGCTAGGCTGATACCACAGCACTCTAGGCCAGGCAAAAGAGCGTGATTCTTGTCTCAAAAAGAAAAAAAAAAAAGGCTGGGTGTGGTGGCTCACGCCTGTAATCCTAGCTCTCTGAGAGGCCGAGGCGGGCGGATTGCTCAAGGTCAGGAGTTCAAAACCAGCCTGAGCAAGAGCAAGACCCCGTCTCTACTATAAATAGAAAGAAATTAATTGGCCAACTATATATAAAAAATTAGCCGGGCATGGTGGCACATGCCTGTAGTCCCAGCTACTCGGGAGGCTGAGGCAGAAGGATCGCTTGAGCCCAGGAGTTTGAGGTTGCTGTGAGCTAGGCTGACGCCACGGCACTCACTCTAGCCTGGACAGCAAAGCGAGACTCTGTCTCAAAAAAAAAAAAAAAAAAAAGATTTTAAGTATAATTATAAATACATATAGTAAATATGACAGCCAGTAAAACACTTACAATTTTAAAAAATCTGGAATTTAATACAGTGCTATAGGCAAAATGTAGATACACATTGGAAAATTTTCCGTTATTAAAATGGAATGGGTTTTACTACTCTAAATTCAAGTAGACTTAAAAACTATCCTTTTGTTCTCTAAATTTGGCAAACTAACTCTAGCTAGTTTCTTAGAACTTTAAACATCAGTTTTCCATGACAGATGCAGAATTGTAAGCCACCTTAAATCTTTCTTAGAAGCAGGCAGAATCTAAATTATTAATTGGTAATTAATAAGAGTAACCAGGTTTAGAATACGTTCATTTAGCTAGCTGAGATGACTTATTAATTTCTACCAGCTTACTTACCCAAATGCAATGCTTCCTGGTACCTCTTGGTATCAAAGTACAAAGACACCAGTCTTGCCTAGGAAAGAGAAAAGGCATTGATTAAAAAGAAGAAGGGGAAAAAAAAGCCACAGAAAGAAATCAAAGATTAACAGTCACAGAACTGTTACTGTTGAATATACAAGTCCTGACAATAGCATCAAATTCAGCATAAGAAATTGTTGAGCCCACGGTATTTCCTCCTATTATAGCCAGCAACTGTTAACTTTATGTTGTTGCTGCTTATTTCTGAGTAGCAGATCCGTCTCAAAACTTCAACCAATGAGACTACTATCAATAATCTTTGGATACCAGAGTAATTACAAAGTTGCTGAAACTACTTTTGACCAGGATGGTATTACTTATATTCACAGTCTGTCTAATAATGCCTAGAGACCTGAAATCAGTGCTAATGTGGAACATACCTCCAAAGCTTGGCGTAAGAAAGTTCTTTTCTCTGATTTGGCCCATTCAATGCACTCTAAACACAGCTCAACCTGCAACAGGGAAAGACATGCAACATTATGTCCTCAGACTCTTTCCACAAACCATGCTTTGGAAAATATCTTTAATTTCCTCCTTACATATTCCCTGCTTACAATAGAGCAAAAACTCTATTGTTTTTGCTCTAGTTAGTGTATGATCACAGTATCTCAATGTTTAATGGTTATACTGTTATAGAGAATCAACTTGGCTTTTAACACATAAAATGTTTGTGCTTAGATAGTGTTCTTTAGGAAAATAGCTTCACCTTCAAGACTCCTCTTCTACCTACTCAGGAGAGACCTAGAACTTATAGCAACAAATATAGCCCTGGAATGTAGGGCTATATTTGGCTTAGGAATTTTTAAAGCAAAAATTTCTCCCTGAAATAGTTAGAAATAGCAACAGCAATATGTTATTGTATATTATTGTGAACACACAGGTAACAGAGGGGAGAAATTCTCAACCTAAGCACAAATGCCTTGTTCCTAACAGTTGCTTGAAGACTCAAAAGGTCCAGTTAGTTCTTTCCTTTTCAAATTCTAGTAGTGAAACTAACCAATTCATCATTGCTCTTACAGAAAATATATATAGTAAACTTAGCTTGTATTAGAGGGAGGAAAAGGAAATTAGAATTAGCCTAACATTTAAAAGGGATTTTAAGCTTTAATTTAAAGGCACTCTAAACCCCCAGTTCTATCTGCCACTGAAGCAGTGATGTAACGTACAAATTATTAATTGGTAATTAATAAGAGTAGCCAGGTAACTGATTCAAAGCAGTGGTCAACCCTACACAGTCTAAGCATGCCATCAGGTACCCTTGACATATTAGCTTTGACAGAGTATATATTAAATCCTACAGATCTTATTCTGTAACTGCAAGTTTTGTGTTAAGCTCACTAATCAGAGCATAAGACAAAAAGAAATGAAATGAGAAACTGAGCTTTCCAGAGAACTAACTTCTAATACAACATGTATTAAAGTTCTTGTAAGAAATGCTGTAAGGAGGGAAAACTAAAGGGACAATAATTCAAATTAATAAAATCTTCTGCCTTTTGAGCCTAAGTTCAAGCTCAGTAAATAAATTGATGGATGACATTATATGTTATTTGGAGCATTCACCAGTAAGAAATTCAATGAAACCTTTACAACTCCTCTTTGGAGCCCCCTGGTGGCTACCTAATCTCCAACTATAAACTCAACTGACTTCATATTCTACCAAAAGAAAGAACCAAAAACTGAAATAAAAGCAAGCCAATCACAATTTCAGAGTTTTGAGTTTTGTTCTGAAAAGCTAAACTCAAAGTTAGATGTCTGATATATATGGAACTAAAAATATTTTGCTGAATAGTTTTGGCAAAGAAAATACACAAGTCTTTAGTCCTACATGACTCGGGCTAAGAGATGCCTCCTATAGTTTCACCCAGGGAGCTTTCTCAAATGATGCAAAAATGAATGCTTGGGACTTAGGTATATACATTGCTCTATAAGTTATACTTCAATAAATAGTTTATACCCTCCTCCCCCCCCATAAAAAAGAATGCCTGGGTTCCTGAGTCTGTAGCCTGAAATATAAGCATGGCTGCTCTAAAGTATATCACTAATAAATAAACACCAAATTCTACTCTTGCAATTCATCTGCCCCCATTTCCCTGATAGTCTAGATATTAAGTGACTCACCTAAGGTCACATATCAGCTGCTAGGACCAGAACTCATCCCTATCTCCAGTGCTCTCTGTACCTTAACCCAGCCTTAAGTTAAAGTGGACAGGTATTTCTCCTAGAGGAAGGATTTTTTACAATATGAACTAGATATCTGTTATCAATTATAGAGTACATGATTTACATGATCTAGAATTGTAATTGGTGAAACCAGCACCTCAGTTCCAGGAAATTTTAAAAGGCACTACCCTTGCTATACAGCTAATTTGCTCGAAAGGCTTTGTGCTTTGTTAATGCTATCAATGACTGATAAAGGGGATAAAAATATACAAGGAGTCCATGCTTCTGGAGAAATGCTCTTAAATAAGTACAAAAACTTGATGTGGTCAAAATTAGATATTTAAGTTTCATTTAAAACAATACATTTAATCATTTAAAAGAAAACCAAACCTTAAATTAACTGAATTCCTATAGAGGGAAAATAACTATTATTCCAAATCTGAAATTCTCTAGCACAAACCCCATTTTTCCATTGAAACAATTGTTTTGACAACATGATTTCTGATGTAAGATTTCTTAAAATGTGCTGCTGTGTTTCAGTTAGGCAGACTACACCAAAAAATGGCTTCCTATAGGCAACTCCCTAGAGACCCCTTGAAAGTAAGCTTAATTCTAGAAGTTCAGTTCACTATTTGGCAAAGATGTGGTTCAGTCTTCATTCTGTCCTCTTCACCCTACTTGTCTAATCCTCTCCCCTTGTCAAGCACATCCTCCTACTCCTCCACACACAGGCTCTCAGTTTCTGGGCCCAGAACCTTAGCACTGCAAATGACCAGACCCTAATCTGAATCATATCAACTTTGGGAATATAGCAAGCTGAAAATAGTTCTGCAGATATAGATCTATCTGACTTATGGTTAGCCCCCAAACAGAAAAAGGAAGGAAAATCCCCTCCCTCATACTCTTAGTACCAAACTCCTTAACACAAAACTCTAGCTCTCTTAACGATATTCTAAAACTTCCTATTTTGCCTCCAGCCTCAATACTACTGTGACAGTCCTCCATCTAGGACTTGTTCCTCTATCCTTTCCCATCACCCAGTCAAAGAATTTTAAAATAACCAAGAATGAAGACTATATCCAATTTCTCCAAGTCAGACACCTTGAGGCATTCAAACAAATGTAGAAACAACACCCCACGCTTGGCCCGGCATGGTAGCTCACGCCTGTAATCCTAGCACTCTGGGAGGCCAAGGCAGGTGGATTGCTCGAGGTCAGGAGTTCGAAACCAACTTGGGCGAGACCCCGTCTCTACTAAAAATAGAAAGAAATTAATTGACCAACTAAAAATATATATACACAAAATTAGCCAGGCATGGTGGTGCATGCCTGTAGTCCCAGCTACTCAGGAGACTGAGTCAGTAGGATCACTTGTGCCCAGGAGATTGAGGTTGCTGTGAGCTAGGCTGATGTCACTGCACTTACTCTAGCCTGGGCAACAAAGTGAGACTCTGTCTCAAAAAATAAAAAATTTAAAAAAAAAAACACCCCATGCTTACATCTCAACTCAATGAACTTAGATCTTAATTCAACAAAGTATTTTCTGAGCAACTACCATGGGAAAAGCATAGTACATACACTCCCTCAATAAATATTAATAGTACTTATGTAGCTCCTCTGAGACAAACTCCTCAAAGTGCTAGGGATCCAACAGTGAAGAGGACAAAGTAGCTATCTTATGGAACTTACATTCTAAGGAAGAAACAGACATTAAACTAGTAAAATAAATATGAAGAAAAGTAAGCAGAGATAGAGCGTTTTAGATAGGGTGATCAAGGAAGGTCTCTGAGGAAGTAAGATGTGAGCAAAGACTTGAAATAATATAAAGAAAAAACCCACGTTAAGATCAGGTTGAGAGCAATCCAGATGTATACAAATGCCAAGGCCAGAAGAGTTTAATGGGTAGGGCAAAAGGCCAGTATTACAGCAATAACAAAAGTAAAAAGGGAGACTAGTATAGTAGATGTGGTCAGATGTGGCTACAGGTAAGGAAATGAACTGTACTGGGAATGGGGAAGGCCCTGTGAGAAAGGTATATAGTGCTTCACTTGAATAAGATTATATTACAATAAAGAAGACAAGGCAAATGTAATTATCATACAAGGCAGAGTAATTAGAAATATAACATGTACAAAATATGTGAGTGACTAAAAGAGTTAAGAGCACATTAAAGTCAGTAAGAAAAGATTTCAGAAGAGGTGGAACTTGAGATGGAACCGTGGAAGGGAAAGGTATAGCATGAGGAGCACACAGGGCTTGTTTGACAAACAGCCATCCAACCAACATGGCTGACATGGTCGATATGCTTAGCAGAGTACCAGCAGATCAGACTACTATATTTGGTTGTATCATAAAAGACCATTCATTGGCTAATTCTGCAGGCTATGGAAAGCCACTAAAGGCTCAAGTTGTGAGAGAAGGAGAGGAATAAAATGATCAGAGGGCTACTTGGTAAGATATTCTGTGACAATGGTGGAATGAAGCTTTTACAGTAGTCCAAGTAAGAAATAAAGAACCAAACTGGATAGTAATTGTAAAGACAGAACAAATACAAAAGAGGTGGAGAAGCAGACATGAAGATGGTTGAACTGACAGAATTTAACAAATGACTGAATGTTAAGGTTGGTCATGTTGAGTTTAAGGTACAGGTAAGACAATTTGTATGATTCAAAATTTGTTCCAAAACAAGCAAATAACCTATACTCCACAAAAATTATTAAAAGAAGTCCTAGCTCAGTGATACAAAACTGGTTCTTGGCTGGACACAGTGGCTCACACCTATAATCCTAGCACTCTGAGAGGCCAAGGTGGGAGGATTGCTTGAAGTCAGGAGTTTGAGACCAGCCTGAGCAAGAGTGAGACCCTGTCTCTACTAAAAATAGAAAAAATTAGCCAGGGGTGGTGGTGCATGTATGTATTCCTAGCTACTCGGGAGGCTGAGGCAGGAGGATCCCTTGAGCCCAGGAGTTTGAGGTTCCAATGAGCTATGATGACACCACTGCACTCTAGCCCGGGTGACAAAGCTGGACTCTGCCTCAAAAAAAAAAAAAAGACTCTGGCTCTTGATTAATGCTAAATTGCTAATCATCAAAAAGACAGCCTTTACTTAACACTAAAATGACATTGACAATAAAATGATACAATGCCTAAGAGTAGCTTGGAAAAGGAAGAAAGGTCTCTAGTTGAGACATGCAATGAAAACAGCAATGTACAAACATAGTTAACGGAGGCCCACCAGACAGGGAACCACATAACAAAGGCCAGTAAATCCCACAAGGCACTTACAGACGAGCACTAAATTATGACTAGAATAGATTTCCACAAAGGAATAGGAAAAATGATCATTAAACAAATGCAGTTCTACCCATTAAGTCTATGTTATGGGGAGGGACAAATTTCAGAGACTTCAGTGTGCAAAAAAGCGGCCTGCATAATTAATTTTTCTGCCTCCAAGTAACATTTGTTAGTGAATTTCAATCTAACATTTATTGATCAGTCTATGTTAAGGTATCCTATTTCAAACAAAAGATGGCTTCACTTTCATGAGAACAAAGTACAATTTTAAAAAGTAAGGGTTAGATAAGGCTAATACTCCTAATAAAAATCACAAGGCAGCTATCTAAATATTTTTGATCTACTATTATGAAACACAGTTTTGCCAGAAACAAATGAATTTGAAGAACACTCTACAAATGAATTTTCTACAAATGAAGTTAGTTTATGGTGTTTAAACTAAGCTTCAAAGAATCACTAAAGAAACCAATTTTATAAAAGACATGACTCCAACATGAGATCCATGTGTCCTAGGGTTCTGAAATTCCTCACTATTTACTCAATATGCTACTATAGCCTTTTTATACCTTTCACCTGTACACCCACATAGGCTACAGCAAACAATCGGACATATAGCCAACTAGCAATTTCAGCCCTCATCCTTACATTATCTGACATTTTATATATTTGTTTATTGTCTGCCTTCCCAGTTAAAATATAATCCCCATGACAGCAGTGACATTGTTTTTACAACTGCATCCCCAGTACCTGTAACAGTACCTAACAAAGAGCAGGTATTCAATGAAATATATCCATAGGGAAAACAACTATATTCTTCCTACAAACAGACTCAAGCAACTATAATATATCCTGCTTGAATCTGCCATTTTTTACAAAAATGATTTTTAATTTTGGTATGTGTCTCCTCCTGAATTGAGAAAATACAGCTACCTTTGAAAAGGTTGGAAAAGGTTCAGTGATTCCAGGGAGGCATTCTTCAGTACAGCTCAGGGTCTAGTCTCAACTTGTAGAAAACATGTACAAGAACACCAGAGTCATTTCTGCACATATGAGACACAAACAAATGGATGCTCACCTCTCAATGAAGGCATATACGCAGAACAAAACATGCCAAGAAGGGATGCCACAAGACTTAATTAGTGCTCACAAGGAGCTTTGTGACACAAGATGAAAGGTACCACAGACACAGAAAACATTACAAAGGTGTGGCAATACAATACCTCAAAGACAAGAATCAGTTTGTGACCCTGATGTAATGAGGATTCCAGGGACCACTGACAATCTCCACTTACAAAGCAAAGCATGGAACAGACCCAAAGTATCAAATGCCCTGTAACAAAGAGAAACTGACATGATAAGTCCTGAGCTGTCCTCTGAGCTGTCCCTTCCACATTAGTACCACAGTGCAGGCAGCCTTTTCTTACACTGAAACAGACTTTTTTCCATATTGTCTACTTTCTGACATTAACATAGCTTACCTCCTGCCCTGTAGCTGCTTCCATATCAAGAAACAGATCAAGAAGAGATCGGACCAGACGAGCTGCTTTAGCCTTGCTGATGGAATTCAAGAAGGGTCGTACATACTTGAGGAGTCCTCCAAGCTCTGTGTGAAAGGTAATTCCGGGGAAAAAAAAGTATATATCAACAGTAGGCACAAAATGCTCATTTAAAAAATTGACTCGTGATCATAAAAATCAGTACTTACATCACTGGAATCAGTCTAAATGAAACTTACTAGTTTAAAGCGTTGCCAGCAGGTACTAGAGCAGCAAAATAAGTTAACATCATATGCCAAATTTGTATCCTATTCCCTACTCAGCCACTATGAATGCCCGGGAAAAGCTCTTACCTCTGCTTTATTTATCCATTTTAATGATGCAAAACAAGCAAAGTATTCTTATTCTCAAAAAAACAGTTTTCTAGCTGGAACATGAAACATGCTGTGTCCCTGCCCACCCTGGACAAAATCACTTCCTCACAACCAACAAATATGATCAGGTTATAGGAATAATTTTTTTTTTTTAAGTTTCCAAGTCTGCCTTAGCAATTCCCCTTAAACAGACAGAGGTTTTCAATTCCAAGTTCCCTTTTTCCTCTCTTCTTGCAGTACTCCCCAGTTTAGCCTTTCAGCAATATCACTTCCCTAGCACTCTTCTGAATAAACTTTTCACATAAGTTTGGGTGTTTCGCCCTACTGTTCTGCTATATCCTTTTAAAATTTCTCATTAACCTTCAAAACCTAAGCCTTAAACTATGACCAAAATAGGTGTCTAACATAGAGCTCTTCTCCCCTTACAGAAGAAGAGGATAGTACAGGAACTCTAAAGGAGCACCTTTAAAACAATAAACTAGAGATGTGCTGGTCAAACAGCAAAAATTAAAGAATGTTTCAACTAAACTAAGGAAGTATTTTTAGAATGTAGGTTAAAATTACTTTAGTGCCACTGCCTCTTTAATATTCTCCAACTGTAGACTTACCCTCCAGAGAACCCTAATTCAGGACAAGCACACCTTACCCTCCTGAGAATGCTAATTCAGGGTTCTGAAATCTTCATCTGCCTGAATAGTCTAAATGCATGGGACTGTGTCAGGTACTTAAGGAACTTTATACAGAATAGAAAAGTTCATCTTTCCCTTTACTCCCCTGTACTGCCCTTTGATTCCCAATGTTTAAGACTTTTTCCCATTCTGCTACCCATTCACACCTGCGCAGACTATACACCCCTGCTTTCAAACCGTACTTATGCCACAATCCCATGTCAAATGTCTTCCCATCTTCTCAACCTATGTAAATCTAAGATATCTTTTTAGGTCCAGCTAAAGACCTACTGAGTCTTCTATGATAACTCCAGTATACAGTGATTTCACCCTCTCAACTTCCTTTTGCATTTATTGCAATTATATTATGTAATCGTAGCTTTTTTTTTTTTAGACAGAGTCTCGCTTTGTTGCCCAGGCTAGAGTGAGTGCCGTGGCATCAGCCTAGCTCACAGCAACCTCAAACTCCTGGGCTCAAGCAATCCTGCTGCCTCAGCCTCCCAAATAGCTGGGACTACAGGCATGCGCCACCATGCCCGGCTAATTTTTTCTATATATATTAGTTGGCCAATTAATTTCTTTTCTATTTATAGTAGAGACGAGGTCTCGCTCTTGCTCAGGCTGATTTCGAACTCCTGACCTCGAGCTATCAGCCCACCTCAGCCTCCCAGAGTGCTAGGATTACAGATGTGAGCCACCGTGCCCGGCCGTAATCGTAGCTTTTTAAAAGTAGTCTAGGTTGGGCATGGTGGTTTATGCCTCTAATCCCAGCACTTTGGGAGGCCAAGGTGGGAGGATCAGTTGAGGCCAGGAGTTCAAGACCAGGCTTACCAGCCTGAGTAATATAGGCTCATCTCTACAAAAAAAAAAAAAAAAAGCTGAGTGTAGTGGACCTGTCTGCAGTCCCAGGTACTCAGGAGGCTGAGGCAGGAGGATCACTTCAGCCTGGGAATGCGAAGTTGTGGTGAGCTGTGACTGTGCCATCTCCAGCCTGGGTGATAGGAGACCATGACTTTAAAAAAAAAAGTCCCTTCTCCCACAGCAAATCTTACTATGCTTGAACAATTCTGAACAATTTACAGTGACAAAAATATTCAGAAGGCAACCTATTCCACTGTTGGCCAAACCACCTTCCACACTGCTTCAAATATTTACAAATCATTTATGTCTTTCCCTTTCTCCAAGCTAAACATCTTTAGCTATTTCAACTGTTCCTCCAATGTCCAAGATTTCCTGAATAACTTATCACATTATCTGCTCTCCTCTGAACAAACTCTACTTTATAAAGGTACCACTTGGGATATGTTTGGTACCAAGAATCAAAAACAAAAAAACAGACAGGGATTGACAGTAGAGCAAGAGGCTTAATTCTCTTGATCTGGCCACCACGTGTAACACAAGATAGCATGTTTTATTTTTCCAACAGCACTATTTGTTCAGACTGAGTCTACTAAGGTCTTTTTTGCACAGACCACTGTCCAAACAGGTAATTCCCCAACTTCCTCTGTTCTGAAAAATACTTTGTATAACTTTATACTTATCACAACTGAATTGAATCTTCCCGGCTTTGGCAATAACTGTGAACTGTAGTTGTGTCCTCTACTGTACTTAGTCATCTACAAAAATAAGCATGCCTTCTGAAATGGCTTTAACCATAATGCCAGATGCTGACCAGAAAAATAAGGAAAAATCCCTATGACATGATGCTAGAGACTCCTGTCCAGATTGATAAATGATCCATTTATTAACATGTTTTAGAAAGTTATTCAGCCCAATATAAGCTCATAACCTATACCTGTCATATTAATATTACGGCAATGTTCCAATACCCTGCTTATATCAGATGTGTAGTCTATGTTGTTCCTCTAATCCAGGAGCTGGCAAACTTTTTCTGTTAAGGGCCAGACAGTAAATATTTTTGGCTTTTCAGATTATATGGTCTTAGTAGCAAGCATTCAACTCAGCCATTATAATACAAAAGCAGTCATAGACAATATAGAAACAAATAGGCATGGCCATGTTCCAATAAAATTTTATTTACAAAAACAAGTGACAGGGGTCGGGCACAGTGGCTCACGCCTGTAATCCTAGCACTTTGGGAGGCCAAGGCAGGAGGATTGCTTGAGCTCAGGAGTTCGAGACCAGCCTGAGCAAGAGCGAGACCCTGTCTCTACTATAAATAGAAAGAAATTAGCCAAACAACTAAAAATAGAAAAAATTATACAGGCACGCTCCACCGTGCCTGTAGTCCCAGCGACTTGGGAGGCTGAGGCAGGAGAATCACTTGAGCCCCGAGCCCAGGAGTTTGAGGTTGCTGTGAGCTAGGCTGACGCCACAGCACTCTAGCCCAGGCAAGAGAGTGAGACTCTGTCTCAAAAAAAACACACAAATGGCAGGCACACCAGTGTAAATCTATATATTGTCTGAGAAGGATAACCAAAAAGAGAGAACTAAGATGAGTTTGGAATAATCTATTCATAATAAACCCACTATTTTAAGTGATTAAAAGTGATGTAGGCCGGGCGCGGTGGCTCACGCCTGTAATCCTAGCTCTCTGGGAGGCCGAGGCGGGCGGATTGCTCGAGGTCGGGAGTTCAAAACCAGCCTGAGCAAGAGCGAGACCCCGTCTCTACTATAAATAGAAAGAAATTAATTGGCCAACTAATATATATAGAAAAAATTAGCCGGGCATGGTGGCGCATGCCTGTAGTCCCAGCTACTTGGGAGGCTGAGGCAGAAGGATCGCTTGAGCCCAGGAGTCTGAGGTTGCTGTGAGCTAGGCTGACGCCACGGCACTCACTCTAGCCTAGGCAACAAAGTGAGACTCTGTCTCAAAAAAAAAAAAAAAAAAAAAAAAAGTGATGTAAATGTGACTATCATATAATTTGTCCCAGAACTTTACCATTGATTACCATTTGTAATACCTAGGTCTAATATTTTCATTACCCTTTTGAAAGGTAGAATAACATTTGCCCATCCTCAGCTTCCTTATACCTCTCCACCCTCCATGATTTTTCTAAGAATAATAAATGCCACTATAATTATATCTGCTAGAACTTTTTTTTATATTGAGACAAAAATTGTCAAAGCCCAGAGACTTGAACTTATTTAAATAGACTATCTGCTCTCTCTTCTCTCACCTACCTTGGTTTTAATTCTCTCTCTCTCTCTCTCTCTGGTGTTATTTCTATCTTTTTCATTTTGAAAATCATTTTCCTTCCTAGAAAAGGCAGAAGCGAAACATGAGCTAAGCAGTCTGCCTTTCTCTCTAGCACCTGCTAGCATTATTTTCTCTAAGCACTGTTACTCTTATCCCAACAGAGAAACAAATGATCTGTTAGTGGCCGTTTTTCAAAAAACTCAGTTCATTTTCTGTTTTAGTGTACTACCCATTTTACATTCATTCTTGGTTATATTTCCTGTTACTTTCCATTTTCATACATATTGAGTTAATTTTTTTTAATTCCCATAAAATCATACTGACTTCTGCAATTATGTCATCAGAATTTAGTTCACAGAACTCAGAAGATTCCTTTTAAGAGTTTCAAGCTATGAAGTCTGCAAATGGTGAACATAGGCATCATGTCTGATGATGCTAGGAACTACTTCCAATCACTACTCCACATTAGACATTGTTTTATTCCCAAGTGACTGTTTTTGGTCAGGGATCTTATCTTAAACTTTTTGAGTAGAGTACTTAGCACAGTGCTACGCATATATTAAATGCATAATAAAACCAACTGAAGATTAATGGAACAGTCATACTTTCCATCCTTAGGGAGCTCAAAATCAAAGCAAAGAAACAATACAAACCTAACAATTATTAAAAGCAAAGGCAGGTAAATGAACGTAGGCTCCAAGACTTCCTTAGGGTTTCTATTGTGTATACCTACATTCATCAAACTTTCTTAGAAGACAATGATAAGTAACATGGAAAAAATTTTGAAAGTCCTTATATTATAATTCACCTATTAAATTCCAACAGGTTTAGCAATACACTTCCAAACTTCTCATGTACTGAGTCACAAGGCAGACAGGATAAGAAATAAAGGGAGAATAAGCATAAAATAGGATAATAGCATTTTTGGATGAAAATTACCAAAGCATGACTGTATACTACACATTGCTTCTAATTATCCATGCCAGTGAAGGAAAGCAGAGATTTGGATATATGAACAACAGAAAAATCTTAAATCACTTCACCTGGCTTTATAATTCTTTCAGAAAAATTACCTTATTAATTACATTTTACATGAACTAATTATCAAAACTGTTTTGGAACTCCTAAGCTCAAATTGACAGGCAAAAGGAATCCATACATATGTTAAATAGTAGGGAAGTCAGCCTATGATGAAAAAGCCATCACCCACCAGTGATAATCTGTAATTAGATAACTACAGAAAAGCAGTAACCATGATGCCATGAGGCTATGAGCCCTGAAGTGGGACTATGTAGTTTCAAATCCTGGTTCTACCAGTCGCTAGCTGAGTGAGCTTGGGTAAGTTTTTTAACCTTTCTGTGCTGTTTCCTCATGTGTAAAACAGGTAAGAGCATCTACTTTAAGTTGTTACAAAGATTTAATAAGCTAAAACCATGTAATGTACTCAAAAGAATAGTTCATAGTTAGCACTCAAAAACACTTAGGTATAGTTAGTCTTAAGGCTACTTAAAAATGTTATTTTAAATAAGATACAAGACCCATGTAAACATATCCTCACAATTTTGTACATATTTACTTAACTTTCTACTGATTGAGCCTAATAATTAACAAATTACTTATCCTTAACTGGAAAAGATCTTTAGTTCCCAAGTTCAAGAAGTTTTGCTAACTAATCCCCTTCATTCTCTTGAGTAACAACACAATTTGGGGGAAAGTGATTCATGAGGTTACTTATCAGAGCTTAATGTAGTCTCATCAAATAAGCTCCAAATTCACTTTAAAGTTGACAAAAATTACCCATTTGAAGTTTAAGCAGACTTCTCTCTAAATACTATTACCACTTTACTGGTGAAAAGTCCTTCCTGGTCAACTAGACTCCCTCCTCATTCCATGGATACACCCATCATCAGAATATCATCTACAGCCCAGCCAGTCAATGGTTCAATTACAACTAGAATGTCTGGGCAATGATATGCACAAAGTCCTAGGCAGCAGTAGAGAAGTCTTGGGAAAGCTCCATTTAATGTCTTACTCATTCTGTATCAGAAAAAAAGAACAGTGAGTCACTTGGATGCAAAGTCCCTAGTCATTTTCAAATTATGGGCCTAAAATCACTATCTACCTTAAATACATCAAAGCTGCTCAGCAAAATCACTGAAGACTGTTGCTGCCTGTATATAAGGAAATACAGTGAAAATTCAAAACCCAGAATCACAGATTACTATATCCCAACAAAAATACAATTTTCCCTCATTTGCAGAACAAAACTCTACCATGAAAGAACTGAGTTTAAAGGTCACTTAACTTCCTGCTAAAAAACTGAAGCTCAACAAGTTGCCAAGAAAATAAAACTGAATTATAACATCAATGAACTCAGTGTGTGGAGGCAGTCCCATGTTCCTTCACTGCAACAAAAAACAGTAACTCCATCCAGCATCTCAGATACAATACATTTGTAGCACTTACCTGCGGCTTGTCCAGTCTTTGCCAGAAGAGACCCCAGTTCCAGGATGCTCTGCTCTTTGACCTGCACTGCCTCCTCATCATTTTCCTGAATGTCACGCTTCACTGGGAGAGGAAAATGCAAACCCTCTTAAAATTCTGACAAAAAAATGAAGACCGTGGGAAATTTCACTCTTACGAGACCCATTACAAACCCAAACATATGTAACAAAAGACAAAACTCTAAATAGCTTTAAAATATATATATATCTGAACAAGAAAAAATAAAATGGTCATGTATTCATGTAGGACATGTCCCATGTAAATCATAAAATAGATTCCTCTCTTTGATTTCAAATGTGCCTTTTCATTCTATCCATCAGAATTTTGCTTACCCACATATACTGCATTTCTGTTGTGGTCACTTCGTTAAAGCAAAATTAAAACAAAACAATCCTTCATACTTACCGCACTAAAACCCATGCCAGTCACTATGTCACATGAAGATATTAAACATGCCCATGCATTTACCTGCCACAAACTAAAATCAAATGACCAAGCTGCTGATGACTATAACATCAAAAGCCTTTCAATGAACAGTAGGTCTGTGCAAAGCCTCAGCAGAGTGTGTTAGGGAGAAACAGTTCTATAAAGCCAAGCAGGAAAAACAACCCTATCAAAGCCCCGATGTGATCCTGAACAGTTACACTTAAGAGACACTGCTGCTTTATAATGGATTCAGGTCCTGTTAAAATAACTTTGTGCTATCTGTCCCACTTTCAACTGCTAATAACTATTCTAACATTCGAACATTGAATAGCCTCTCTAAGTTGGTAGTGATAATTTTAGTGCTCATCACTAGTTACTACTTCTCTTGCAAAGCATCATGACTTGACAAAAACCAAGATTCTGATACTCCATGATGGACTCTTGAAAAAGTTAAGGCTGTCAACCATCCTGACTCTAACTTGCCGTAACAGAGAAGCTTTCAGGAACTCTCTCCCAGTATAGTGGGCAAGCAAGAAATACTCTAATTGTATTAATGTTTAACATAACTTCTACTTTATGAAAAACAAAACATTAGGCTCTAGGCACAAAAAATAAAATTCATGCTTCTCACATTAGTTCTAAATATTACTGTGTACTCAGAATAAAATATATATATATATATGTAACAGCGACTGAGATGACTCTGATTCTGTAAATGTAACTGACTCAAGATCAGAAGTTAAAAATGAAACGCCCTTTACCAATTATCATTCATTCAAAGATGTATCTTGACCCCTGCCTCCTCTCCTTCCCTAGTACTCCCAATGGTAAAGACACCAATATCTTGTCATTGTCTTTTCTCTGTGCAAGTCTTGAGTACCAAAATTCAACAGTCTAAGTAAGTCAACACAAATGTCAACATCCTGGAAGTGGATACAGGTGCATTCTCACACTACTTGTTGATACGATTCAAATCTTCTCAAACTACATTAAAAAGGTCACATTACTACACGTGAAGAGCTAGTCCATGCTCTAACTGAATCCTTTATGAATGAACATTAAAAGCCTTGTCTTGTCATTATACATTTATTTCTATTCAAGCCTGACTCCCAGCAGAAAGCTGTCGGAAGAGACTGGCTGGGACTCCCATTTCTCCTGTGTGCAGGTGTAAAGCAACCACACTACAGCGTTAAGAAAATTTCCTTTAATTTTCTCCGGCAATGTGCAGCCAGCTGGTTCCAAAGAGTTCCCAGAACTCCGCGGACTGACAGCTAACTCCCTCAACTCACTTCCAACACCTTTTACAGGGGAGACTTGAACGATTAGTCACCTCCTATAGCCAGGCAGTCCTACCACAACACCTAACTCTTACACTCTACACGGGGCAGAGGAACGTCTCGGCCACCTTTTCAAACCAAATGTCAATCTGAAGTGTGTGTCACCCCCGAATTTCCCAAATTCAGAAAGCGGCCCTCCTTTAGTGGAGCCTTCCGCTGGGGGCTGAGGAGAAGTAGCAGCTCCCCGCGTCCCGTGGAAGGAAACTCCAAGAGAAGAGCGAGCGCTCGCGCTCCCACCCCAAGCAGGCTGTGCTGATAACAACGGCGGGAAATGCCTCTCCTGAGCGGGTTTCGCCAAGGCCGTTCAACTAGAGACTCTCAGACCAGTTTGTGCTCAGTCTGCCGGCAGGCACTGCTCTCGGGTCCCGGCCAGCTCCTGCGGGCCAGAGCGAGGAACAAGGCTGGGGAGGGGTGGTGGCCCCGGCTCGGCCCACTCTCCCACCCCACGCTGATCCCACTGTGAGTCAGCAGCCGGCGAGTGGACACAGGGGTTGCCTCGGGGCTTCCCATCAGAGGGTGACCCGGGGGGCTCCAGGGAGCTCCAAGCGGCCTGTGCCCCCAGCCCGGCCCCCCTCACACACAGTGAGTCAGCAGCACCAGAGCCGGCTAGCCCGGCCCCTCGGTGCTGCCGCCGACCGACATAAGCCGAGCTGAGCCAGCGGGGCCAAGAAGACGGCGCGGCGACCTTTACCGATGGAGTGGAGGATGTCGATGGAGGCCTCCCGGTCAGTGCTGAGTAGAGACTGGGCTCTCTGGAACTCCACCACCGCCGCCGCCGCCATCTTACCGCTCTCACACCGTCCCCGGCCACGGCCGTCGACGCCGGAAACACACACCCGGAAGGCCCGCCCTCGCGTCCCTTCCCGCTGTGGCCCCCGCGCCTCCGTTCCCGGAGCACTCGGGGAGTTGTAGTCTCTCGGCCTGGCGGGGGCCGGGGGTGAGGGGGGACCAGGAGCGCCCCGCAGGTGGGCTGCAAGGTCCTCAGCACCGCCTAGCGGCCCGCCCGCGAGAAAAAGAGGCGGCACCCAAGTGCTGGAGTCCAAGGTTCGTCCCCACCCACCTCAAAAGAGGCTTCTTGATTTCGACTCCCCTTGTGCACCCTTGAAAGGAGTTTTTGAGTACTCGGTTAAGTATTCAATGAAAGCTCTTTGTCAGCTGTAAAATCGGGATAAGGGGGGGAAAAAGAAAAGAAAGCTGTTTGGCTGTCTTTGTAGCTTCCACGTTTAACCATTCAGGGCAATAAGTGACCTTATCAAGTGCTCGCTATGTAGCTGACAAAGAATGGCACTATTCAAATGCGTTCGAGTCTCTGACAGCGCTTGCGTGACACACGCACAAACACACACTCTTTTCAGGCTTGAAGTCTACAGGATGCTGGCCAGCCTGTGATAAAGCCACCAGTATCAGCAAAAACTGTCTTTCCCAAGCAGCCCGTTCAATCTTGAGGCAACGCGTTGAACGTTATGAGATGAAATATCATCTTTGTCCCATTCATTAAATAAATACCTCTTGGGAGTCACACAAAAGACTCACCCCAGCTCCGCAGCTCAAAAAAAAAGAAAAAAACAAAACAAAACAGATTTCCAGTATCTCCAGTTCCTTCAAGTAAAATCACAGATACCTGTGAGGATGCCGTGTGGAAAGGAAAAAGACATTCTATGTGACCACTTAGGGTTAAACTTAAGGAAGGTGCTAAAACTGTACAGAGACAGGTCAATATAAGGAAGACCTTTCCCTAGGTGATGACACTTCCAAAAATAAAATATACTGTCCCATAAAAGGGCCTGTAAAGGGAACCAACATTGCACTCCTCTGTGACTGGATTAGGCAATTTATATATCTATCTCCTTTTATCCTCCCAACAATGTTTTGTAAAGATATTTTTACCCCTCTTTAATAGATGAGGAAGCTGAGGGAGTTAAAGTGATTTGGTGAAGCTCAAATAGTGATTGACAGAGCTGAGATCTGAGGATTAGGGAATGCCTTCCTAATTCTTGGTGTGTTCAAATGAAAACTGGATAACATCTCATCAAGTTGTTGTAAACAGAATTCATGACTTTGATGGGGAGTTGGATTAAATGGCCTCTAAATTTCTCCCAACTCTTAGAGTCCATGAATTTCAGTGCAAGACTGAACCTTTCTTTGTTGAAAAAAGGCATTCCTCCCTTCTCAATCTGGTGTGCAATTAATGGTATTGTGCCAAAATGTTAATGGGCTGTAAAACTCCAAAGCTGAGAACAACAAAGCATAAGTATCTCCACCTTCTAAAGAAGAGTTATCAGTTAACTCTCCAAATAACTTGCTAAGAAGTGACTAGACAAGTCTTTTAACCTTTCTCTACCTCCAGCTTCAATCAGAGAGACATAAAAATTCAAAGTCACCTCATTACAAAGAAGGAATATTACAAAAGATTAGGAGTGCCTGCTAGATCTTTCTCCCAAGCTGGTAAGTCTTGCTTCTCACCAACCACCATGGTGAGAGTTTTTTGTTGTTATTTGTTTGTGACAGGGTCTCACTCTATCCCCTGGGCTAGAGTACAGTGGCATCAAGAGATCCTCCTGCCTCAGCATCCCGACCAGCTAGGACTACAGGCGAGCCACCGTGCCTGGCTAATTTTTCTACTTTTTGTAGTGACGGGGTCTCACTCTCACTCAGGCTATTCTGAAACTCCTGGCCTAAAGCAGTCCTCCCACCTCAACCTCCCAAAGTGCTAGGATTACAGGCGTGAGCCACTGCACCTGGCCCATAGTAAGAGTTTTGAGGTGAATCAGACATATCCCTCCAGGAGTTTGGAGAGATCCTTCATGCACATTTATGAAGATGATAAGCCACTTCTGGCCTGCAGAATTCTGAATTAGGGAAGATGGCTGGCATACTCTCTCTGCAATAAGACAATGAGAAAGGGCAGCAATGGGGCAGCCTCCTCTACCTGTGTTTGGTATAGCAAGACTCTTATGGGCCAAGCAGATGTTGCATACATAGATTATTCAGGACATTCTTGAAGGGATCTACTCGATGGGATCACCTGCTAGAGTGAGGAGACCCAGTAATAAGGGTCTGAAAATGTGGACTTCAGGAGGTAGTGGCTGAAGGGGGATCTTCAGGTCCACAGGTAGAGCCTCTAAAGAACCCATAAATGCTCCCAACAAGAAAGAACCAGTACCTAGGTCTCTGCCTCTGATGTCATCAGTCATGTGAGAGACCTTTACCTCTTTTCTTATGATCCCTCCTACTTCTCTGACCTTCCCCAAACTCCCTCACCCTGGAAGAGACCTAGAAACAGCAGAGTAAAAAGGAAAGAGAACAAAAAGAGAAAAAGTGCAGACTAAACACAAATTTTCAACTGCCTGACAAAGAACCGAGAAGCTTTAAATCAGATGTGAAATTGAAGTTTTGGTTTGGGCTGGATTAGACTTTTAATTACTACAAAATAACATAAAAGGGATTCAGGAGATTTGCCCAAGGTGTCATCCACGGTAAGGGAAGGAGGATCCAATACATGCTTTTAAATTTCAGGCTAGCCACTTAGTAGTTGGTGTCTTTAGCATGTTTCTTAATTTCTCTGATCTTTGGTTTTCTCACCTGGAAAATAGGGATAATATAACCTAGCTGACAAGGTTGTCGTAAGGATAAAAGATAATATGGTGGCATGGTAACTAAATGTTATTTTCTTTCTGTATAGCATCTTCATTATGTAATACTAAGAAGCTATATCATTGGGATCACAAAAAGCTATATCATTGGGATCACAAACTACTGCTTAGTAGTCATTTGTCATTGATTGCATTGATAAGGTAAGCAATGTCCCTAAACTTAAGTAGTACTATAATATAAGTCATTCTCAGGAGTGTGACATTCTCAATGACACCCAAAGCTCCCACTCACCCTCTTGCAGTTGTCTTGCCATTCTTCCCCATTTTCAGATTCTTCCTATCTTCTGTGTGTGTGCTAATGTTCTGGGCCTTGTGAGAGTCTGGTGAGCATCCCTCTTGCTGTGGTCCACAAAGTGTTGCAAAATGTGGCCTACTTCTCCAACTTCAACTCATCACTTTGCCTCTTATTCTGCTCAGCTGGCTCCTTTTTCCCCCTCTTCCAACATGCAAAGTTCTTTCCCACCTCAAAGCCTTTATATTCCCTTTGCAGGTTGCAGCTTAAAGGGCACTTCCACAGAAAGGCTGCTGTGCCATCCCATTATAAGCAATCTCATGCCTTCAATCCAGTAATCACCACATCACTCATTTCCTTCCTAGCACTTAACATAGTCTGTGATTTTATAATTTTACTTGTTTAAAGCTCATCTCCCTCCAAAAGTTTGCAGGGACCTTGCCAATCTTGTTAATAGATATACTCCCTATTCCTACAATAGTGGCTTGCACATGGCAAACACTCAGTAGTTGTTGAATGATGCATACTAGTATCTGTCCTGTAACAACCTTATGCCCTGATGTCTGCCCTAAATGTACATGTTCTATACTGTGCGACTCTGTTCACCTTAGCCATTGCTGATTGGATTGGGGTAGGAGTGGGGGACTGTCACAGATTAGCCCAGGACCTAGGTATTATAGGGCCTGACTTGGAAAAATTAGCCAGGCCAGTGCGTTTGGGGGATGGAGAGACTCGAGCCAGTTAGCCACAGAAACTGAAATCAAAGTCTGTCACTTGGAACTAACTAGCACCACGTTGGTAGAGAGAAACTCAGTAGACAAGTGGGGAGAAGCAGGAATATCATGGAAGGCAATCCAAATACCTCCAGAGAAGGCCACCTCAGTTCCTAACAACTTTCCATGAATCAGCTCCACTTCCCTGAGGCCCACCCATACCATAGTCCCCATTCTTGGAACACTGTGACATGTTCTCTCTCCAAGATCTTCTAACCCTTCTTTTTCTGTCAAAAAGAAAGGTTCAGTGTGGTGTGATTATGCCTTTAATGGCTCTCTAATATTTTCTTATCTTTCCTTTTATAATATCAAAGTGAGATAGTAATGTGGATAGAATTTAGGTTTCTCTGTACAGTTGACCCTTGAACGACATGGGCTTAAACTGTGTGGGTCCACTTATTCACAGATTTTTTTCAGTAAATATATATTGGAAAAATTTTTGGAGATTTTGAACAATTTGAAAAAACTTGCAGACAAAACACATACCCTAGAAATATCAAAAAAATTAAAGTTGGCTATGTCGTGAATGCATAAAATGTACATAGATCCTAGTCTATTTCATCATTTACTGCCATAAAATACAAAAAAAAATTATTATAAAAAGATAAAATTCATCAAACTTTTGTATACATGTACAAACTGTACATGGTGCTATTCACGGTCTAGAGAAATGTAAACAAATATAAAGATGCAGTATTAAATCAAAACTGCACCAAATTAACTGTACTACATACTATACTACTGTAATAATTTTGTAGCCACTGCCTATTGCTGTTTTGATGAGCTCAAGTATTGTGAGTATCCACTTAAAACACCATGTGATGCTAATCGTCTCTGTGTGAGCAGTTCGCCTCTCCAGAAATTGTGTATTACAGTAAAAAGTGAACTTTTGTGTTTCTTGTGTGTTTTTCATAGTGTTTAGTGCAATACTGTAAACCTTGAATAACGCCATGGGACCTATATGAAGTGCCACTAGTGATGAGGGAAGTGCTCCCAAGAAGCAAAGAAATGTCATCACATTAGAAGAAAAAGTTAAATTGCTTGATATGTACCATAGATTGAGGTCTGTAGCTGTGGTTCCCTGCCATTTTAAGATAAATGAATCCAGCATAAGGACCATTATAAAAAAAAAAAGAAAAGGAAATTCTTGAAGCCGTCACTGCAGCTGTGCCAACAGGCGCGAAAATCTTGCACTTTTTGTGAAATACCTTTTGAAAATGCAGCTTTTATGTGACTGCAGGATTGCTATACAAAAGGCATACCTATATACTCTAATATGATTTGAGAAAAAGCAAAGTAATTATATGTCAACTTAAAGTGAAAGGAATGTGAAGGATCTAAAGCTGGAGAATTTAATGCCAGCAAAAAA